TATTAATAGTAGTGGTACGGTACAGTATACTGCTGGTAATGGTTTTGAATACCATTACCGTATCAAAAATATATGGTACGGTACAAATACCGTATCATTATCAATGGTACAAATTTTTTGGCATAACTTTAGTATGGTACGGTTGGTAATTCAGTTGGTATAGTAATTTGGCAAAAAATTCCACCCCTAAATAGCATTGTTCTGTGTAATTTCCGAAAATTAAGAGAGAGATCCGTGTGTCTATTGCCTCCAAAGTCCAAACGGTCATGTATTAAACACACACAAAGAGGTAACCTCAACGTTAGCATCTACATGAGCTCATTTTGGTGGATCTGTTTTTAGAAGGGAAAAATTCTATATGATGTTTCAAAGTATATGATATTTAAACTTTTTAATCGTTGATTTTAATTTTTAATATTTAACTATTAAAAATTTAGAAGTGTTCAATACTCAAAACATCATAAAAACCCTCAAGTAAAATTCTCTATATTTGTATTTTATGCGAATAAGTAACGTGGTAGGATGGCTTTCCGCACAGAAGAACATTTTCACAAATAACTTACGAATTATTAACAATTGTACAAAATTGGGACTTAGGCCTTCAAAAAATTTCATAAATCGTAAGTAGAAATATCCTACAACTTCTTAAGAGATTAAGAACTCGTTTGTAAGTGTTTTTAAAACGAGTGTAAATATTTTTGATAAAGGTGATTTTGAGTACAAAAGCACTAAGTGTCACATTCCGGTCCGGGGCGGATCACTTCCTGGGCCCGCTTCACCACCGTAGCACGATATTGTCCGTTTTGGGCTTACCATTCCCTCATGGTTTTGTTTTTGGGAACTCACGAGTGAGCTCCCAAAAGGCCTCGTGTTAGGTAGGGATGAGAATATACATATAAGGATCAATCCCCTAAGCGATGTAGGATGTCACAATCCACCCTCCTTAGGGGCCTGACGTCATTGTTGGCACACACGCGACCAGGGTTAGGCTCTGATACCAATTGTCAATCCCAGCCCGGGGCAGATCACTTCCCGAGTCCGCTCCACCACCGTAGCACGATATCGCCCGCTTTGGGCTTACCATTCCCTCACGGTTTTGTTTTTGGGAACTCACAAGCAACTTCCTAGTGGGTCACCCATCCTGGAAGTGCTCTAGCCCACTTCTTGCTTAACTTCGGAGTTCTTAAGCCAGTGAGCTCCCAAAATGCCTCGTGCTAGATAGGGATGAGAATATACATATAAGGATCACTCCCCTGGGCGATGTGGGATGTCACACTAAGACCATCTTCAATGATGACTTATAACCTAAAATTTCCTTCCCCCCCCCCCAAAAAAAATCCACTCCAACCCATGATCCAAAATTAACCTAAAACCTAAAACTCATTTGAGGGTTAAATACCAGCCCAGTTTTAAGCCACAAACCAAAATGGGCCTCATCAACTAAGATTGAAATTGGGGCTGTGAAGCCCAGTTCCCTTTCCCGACTTGCCCACGCGCTGCATGCGTGAGGCATCTCCAGCCAACCAACAGCCCCACGTGGAGGTGTTCCCTCAACAGTCAATGCAAAAAGCAGCCCAACGGCTACTTTTTATAATCCAACGGTGACGTTTAAATGGGCCGTTGGTTAATCCAACGGTCCAGGTTCAAATTTTTTTTTTTTAGTTTTATATTTATGTATTTATTGAATCTAACGGCTTAGATCAAATATAATTAAATATAACGGTAAAAAAAGATCTAACGGTCCAAATTTAAATCCAACGGCTAGAATAATTTTAAAAAATTATTTAACTTAAAATTCAACCAAAAACTCTATAAATACCTATGTATTTGTTCAAACATCCACACAAAACTCACTTTTCTCCTACAATTCTTCCAATTTTTCTTTATACCATTTATTCTCATTTCTAGAATTTTGAAGATGGCAAAAGAGCATGTTAGAGGTCGTAATTGGAACTTTGACGAAGATATTGCTTTATGTTTGGCATGGATTTCGATTAGCGAAGATGGTGCCGTCGGCACCAATCAAAATAGAAAGGTTTTATGGGGTAAAATCGTTGATAAGTTCCGTGAAAACTCCAACGCCGGTCGAAGGGAAGTTGGTGGTGTTTATGATCGGTGGAAGATTATCAACAAAGCGTGCACTTTGTGGAAAGGAAGCTTGGAGAGAGCCATGGTTGACATGCCTAGTAGAAGGAGCGCCTCAAAAATTGTGAGTTTATTTGTTGATATTTTAGTTGTCATGTACGTAATAGCATTTTGCAACTAATTGTTTTTATGTATTTGTTGCATAGGGTGACAAAGCAATGGCAATTTACAAGATAAGAACTACACCAAAAAATCAAGCTTTTAAGTTGCATCATGCTTGGAACATCCTCAAGGATTGTCTGAGGTGGGGAACCGATGCGAACCAACAATGTGGAAGATTATTTCATAATGAAGCCCTACCCCTAAATGATGTCAATGAAGGTGTGAATTTTGTTGACAATGAAGATGTCAAACAAATGACCCCAACTTCTTCTTTTGCAAGGCCCCCGGGTAGAGATAAGTAAAAGGAAGCAAAGAGAAAAGGGAAGTCCCAAGATCCGACACGTGCACAATTTGCTAGCAAAATGGCAATAATGAACGAAAACCAGTGTCGTCGGCAAGAAGAATCGGCCCAAATGCTTTTGGCCATGAAGGAAGAAGGGGATAGGGAGCAAGCAAGGTACGAAACTAATTTGATAATGGAGGACCTCGACAAATACACTCCAGAGAGGAAGAGATACTTACGTGGTAAGCAAAAGGAAATTTTACGAAGGAATGCCACAAGGAGTATATTTCAAGATGATGATTCATCATAAGACTATCACCCAAGTCCATCACCAAGTCAAGATGGTGGATATCATTATTAAGTTTATGTAGTCTATGAGTTTTCGATTGTATTAAGTTTATATGGTTTATTAATTGTCTTTTTTATTTTTTAAGTTTATGTGGTTTATTAAATGTCGTTGGTATTAAGTTTATGTGGTTTATCTTGATTTTCATGTATTGATTTAGTGATTTTTCAAAATTTATCGGAATTTAAATATTTTTAGGTTAAAATGTTCATAAAATTAATTTAGGATAGTCTACATAATTTTTTTTTTTAAAGTTAATTTAAAAAAAATAGCCTTAATTCATTATTTGATAATCTGGGGCTAAAATTTTAGACCAGAAGAGTTGAAGTAGAAAAGTTGTTTCAGGACTAAAACCTAAATTTTCTGGGCTAAATATTTTTAGGTTTTAGGTTACCATTAGAGATAGTCTAAGACCTACTCCAACCCCCTAAAGTAAAACTCCAATTTTAGGTTCTAAACTTACCCCAAGTTGCTCTAACGCTTAGAGAAAATATGAGTTTTAACCCAAAAATCATTTCTGGAGCAAATTTAGCCTAGGATTCCCTTGAGTTAGTGGAGCTGGGCCACCATATACGTGTAATTTTTTTAGTTTTATATTTATAAATTTATTGAATATAACGGATAAGATTTAATATGATCAAATCTAACGGTAAAACAAAAGATCTAATGATCTAAATTTAACTCTAACGGCCAAACTAATTAAAAAAATATATTTTATATATTTCATATTCTTTCATAGTGTTCCATGATTTTCATAGTGCCAGTTTAGATATTTTTGAATATTTATCGGAATTTAAATATTTTTAGGTTTAAATGTTCATAAAATTAAATTAGGATAGTCCACATAATTTTTTTATAAGTTACTTTAAGAAAAAATTATTCTAAATTCATTATTTAATACTCTCGGGCTAAAAATTTAACCCATAAATGTTGAAGGAGAAAAACTGTTTTTGTGTTGAAACCTAAATTTTTTAGGTTAAAAATTTTAGGTTTTGGCCCAAAGATTGGAGATGGTGTAAGTGTTTTTGTTTGGAAGAAGCACTATATCTAGTGCTTATTGCAGGAAACACTATATATGTACTTTTTGCAGAAACATGTGTTTCTTAGAATAAACACTTAAAATATTTTTCGGAATCTATTGAAATTTTTACTAAGAATTCATTTTAAAAATATTTTCATTAAAAATATTTTTAATCATTTTTAAAATACATCAAAGCGATCTAAGAATTTTTAATCCTAGGAATTCAAGTGGGGTGGTTCCCAACTTTGGATAAATTTTTAGTTGAGACGGAAATACGGATAGTACACCACGTGTTTTTATGAAATTAGTGAAATTTTTTAATTTTTAAATTATTAACCTTTTAATACATATAATCCAATATTTATATAAAAACATATGATGTATCATTTCGTGTGACGGTCACGTTAAAAATCCCTTCCAACTCTGCCAATATGGATGGTTCAGGAAGGCAGACGTGCTCTGCGAGGAGCCGCACACCCAATGTCAATCCTAAAAGAGGATAGGTTTTCCATAAAATAATGATGTGGACATGGTTGATGCGACAAAAGCAAAAGTGGCCTACTGATTACCCTAAACGTTCAGACAGGATAAACTCTTCTGGATGTGTGGTCCCCAATATTACCAAATTAGGGCAGAGCGTTAAGTACTATTTATAGAAAATAAAAAAATTTCTATAAATAAATTTTAGTTACCTAATTTTGGAATCAAAGTGAAAATATAGGAAACAAAATTTGAACTTATTTAACATTGATAAGTAAATGATTAACATTACATCACCATCTCTTGGGCGTTGTGAGCAAAAACATATCTACTAAGACCAAAATAGAGGGCTTACATTTTAATAGAATAATCTTATTTTGTTTTAAAAATGGCTGAAAAATATGGAAAAGGATCCGAAAAGGGGATGGTAAGAATTCCGTGATTATAACTATTCATCGTACAATCATTTTATTTAAAATTTAAAATTAAATATAAATAATACCTAACAAAAACTGATCACACGATGTATAATAAACTATTACGACCGAGCATCCTTAGGATCCCCCGAAAATGGATCCCGCCTTTTCCGAAAATTATGTCTTGTTGACATGTGCACCAAAAGTAAAACGATTCTCTTTGGTTCTGATACATTTCCTATTTTGTCCTATAAGCAAAATTAGTAATATCCATAAATAAAAAAAAGTAAATACCTTAAATGGTAGTGGGGTGGGAGGAGTCGCCGACGACTGAGAAACCCCTCATTTGGTTGTCTTTCGAATTCGCTGCTGCTGCTTCTAGGTTAGGGTTTTACAGTCGCTCCCGGAAACTAGAGTGAGAGAGAGAGAGAGAGAGAGAAATTGAGATCAAGCAAGAGCAAGTAAATGGGGCGAGGGAAGGTAGAGCTGAAGCTAATCGACAACAAGCTCAGGCGGCAAGTGACGTTTTCCAAGCGGAGAAGCGGGCTGATCAAGAAGGCACGTGAGCTGTCCGTGCTCTGCGGGGTGGAGGTCGGCCTCGTCATCTTCTCCGCCAAAGGGAGGCTTTACGAGTTCTGTAGCGGCGAGAGGTACGCCCCCCTGTAATTTCTTCTTCCTTTAGCTACGTTTTAGCTTAATAGGAACCGGGATCTCGACCCAAAAAAAAAAAAAAAAAAAAAGGCTTAATAGGAACCGGGGCTGGGTACAGTTAAGTGTGGTTGGGGTAAAATCGGAACTGAATTTATTGTGGTGCGGTTTGATTTGAGGGTGGAAACCGTAGTAAAATCGAACCATTCGGTTTTAGTTCAGTTCGATTTCAAATTATTTTGATTTCGATTTGAGTCTAACAAGTAGGCCCGTTAAAAATTTGCGCTTACCTTACAAGTTTTTTTCGGTTTGGGATTCTGGACTTTTATTTTATTTTATTTTTAAGTAATTATTATTAGTATTTTAAAATTTTTATTTTATACTCGTATTTTTTTTAATAATAAAAAATTTAAAATGCTAAATAAGATTTTTAGAATGTTAATAACAATTCCATACTTTTATAATTGTTTCCCGTTTGTTTTGGTTCCAAACAGGAGAAAGAACAGTTTAAGCGGTAAGTAAAATCATAATTGATAACCATCGTACTAAAATCTAAGGAAATTCTTTTTGAGTTTGTTTCAAAATAAAATAGAAAACAAATCGCAACAACGAATAACTGCTACACTAAAATTTAAGTATCCAAATTTAAATCTATGTATGACCTTCACCAAATAACCAATTATATGCCAACATTTAATTTGCTAACTAAATTAAATATTTTGTATATATTGTTGTCCGGTTTAGGATCCGTTTCAAATATTAAGAAGAGAAATTAAACTGTTATTTAATTTGCGCTTCGTTTCATATTAAAACCGTTAAAATTGAAAAGACTGAATCATTCGGTGCGATCGAAGTTGATTTATGTTTAATTTCGATTTTATGTCCCAAGTGCCGGCCATAGGAACTAGACAGCTGGCTCCCGAAGTATCGTTTCTTCCTTCTTTTTGTTTGTTTGTCTTTGCAATGCTAGGCTGCTAGCTGGCTACCATCTTGTAATTAAAAGTCGGAAAATGATTCGTGTTGGATTATTTTTCTGGGATATTTTTGAGATATCGTGATTGTAACCGTTTATCATATATCTTACGATCATAAATTATTTTAAAATTTAAAATTAAATATAAATAGAAAGTGACTGCATAATATACGATGAATGATTATGATCACAAATTTTTTCTAAGATCTTCTAGAAAAAGATCCGATGCTTTTCCTTAAAAGTTCCATTTATTTTATTTTATTTATTTTTAGTTGATGTATGTGCTATCTTTTCACATCTTTTGTATAATTTTAAGGGGTTTATAGATCGAGGTCTAAAATTACAGGCTACTTTTGAAGTGATAATTTTTATGCTTCTTTCGCCTTTTGAGGTAAAAAAAATAATATTTATATATTTGAATTACTTTACATAATTTTGAACTTTAATTATTTAAACACATTGAAACTTACTATTAATTAGGAAATTATTTATTTCTAAAAATTAAAATAAAATAGTTAAAAGAAAACTCGTATGTGGTTATACCTCAGGTTGAAAACAATGAAAACATAAATGAAATCTCCAATTTAGCGTTAAAAGACAACACGTATAAATACGTTTAGCGCTCGATATTCTTTGTCCTTTGCTTACAAAGAGGAGGGTTTCGAATGTTGAGTTTCCAGCCTTCTCCTACCCATTACGCTTCCAACGCTCGACATTGGACCAAATTTCCCATTGACTTATTATTATTACACAATGCAAGAGATTAATTGGAGTGACTACTTCCATCATCCACCGTTACCGACGAATGAACACCTTTAGACAACCTTTAGCATCAATCTCTTCAAAGGGCATGGGGAGGACCCGAGTTGCTGTATTTGAATACTATATACATATTTATATATTATTCCTTTTCTTCGTCAATATTGTTAGTATTTGATGGGAAAAAAGTGGATGCTGTTTTCCCTAACTTAGGAGAATATGTAAGTATAGATGCCTCCAATAAGATAAAAACGCCTCCCTTCTCTCTCCCCTGCCGTTTTGCTCCATCACTCACTGATGGTAGGCTGGTAGCTTACCCTATCTCTCCAAGGATGATAGCTCGCCTCAATCCTCGAATTTCGGTGGTAGTGGGCCTGAGCTCGGTCTCATATTGGGTGCATTGTCCCTATTCTTTTGGTTTTCCGCTCACCTCTTCGAGATATTTAGCTTGTTGCACCCGATTTAAGTTAGCCCTAAAATTATCTATAATCCCTAACCGTAACAACTACTTAGATACCCTTCCTCTGTGCATCACACAAATGCTCTCCTATACCCTCCCACTCCGCAGCCCACAAATCCTGCATTTGTTTGTTGGATAACCTGCTTTCGATTGAGAAGCCTCTTCTAGCCATTGTGTTTGCTACCCACCTCAAGAGCGAGTCGTAGCTCACTTAGATGAATGTGTGCAAAACCGCTGTGCAGCTAATTTGGGTATCCGCACCGCCTCCTTCAACGGTTCTGATGGTGTTTTGTCTTCTTGTTTGGTTGGCATTACCAGTTTTCCCTTGCTGGTGCTGGCTGCTTTGCTGAGTATTTTAGAGGCAAATTTGTGTATTCTTTGTGCATCTTTGTTGTTGTGAAATTGGGGATTAGATATGTTCTTCAATTAGGACTTATTTGCATATGTGGTTTGTCTTTTGGCCCTTATGTTTTGTTGGTGCTGACCGCATATCAACTGATCTGAACGGAGGATTGGTGAGGTATATGGTGGTTGTGGCAAAAGACGACTTGCGTCAACATAGTCTAATTGGGCATCATGTGCCTTGAGCTTCTTGGTCCACTTGGCCTACTAGCAGCTTTTCTTTAAGTTTATCTCATCTCATGTAACATTTTCTTCTATTAATGAAGTTTATGTTTCATAAAAAAAATCCAACTTATGTTCGATATATATTTACTTGACGTGAAATGTATTATTGCCAAACCATTTGGCAACATAAGATACCAAACATTGAATTGATCAAGTTCTGACCTGAATAACATGTGATTCATATGCACAGTTTGATTGTCGGGTTCAGTAGGAAAATAGAACATTGCACCTCAACTTGAGAAACAATCACATACCTCATCTTATCATCCACTAGCTTATGTTTGAAGTTTATGTTCGATATATATTTACTTGACTTGAAATCAATATAATCACCATTTGATCTGATAGAGTTGTGTGTGACGGTTGCTATTGTTGTCGAGATTTTGGTACGCACTCATGTATATCAATAGTTGCACGCATTGTATTGCGAGTGAGTTTGTGAGTGAATTTGTAACACCACGTTAACTTGTCAAGCAGTGTTTCCATCACATGAAAGAATTTCTTAAAGAATTCAGTGAAAAATAGTATAGCACGATATGTTGAGATGATAAGGAAAAGTTTCCATGCATAAGGAGTGATATGGTCATAGTTAGAGTAATATTGGTTAAATTTCCATGCATGTCTGAGATGAAGTTTTGTTTGGCGAAGCACTATATATATAGTAGACTATATATTGGATCATCAGAGTCCCAAAGTATTTGCATGATTATTTGGTGATTTTTGCGTCTAAGAACTAATTAATTAGCTTGCTCGGGTTTTTTAACCATCTTCAACTTATAAAAAAAAAAAAATAAATAAAAAAAAAGGAACAAAAAATATCAGTAGTTCCCTGTAGTCAGTATATTTATATTTGTATCATCACTCCATGGGAAGGACCATGTTAATTACAAGAATTTAACACCCTGAACTCTTACTGCAGAAAGAAGAAAGGTGTAGTCTGCTCCATAAAGGGCGAAGGTACATAAGTTTATAAAGTTCAATAAAATCTAATGTGGTATTATATATACTTAAATATAGGAAAGAAAGGACCAATATCAAAATATTCGTAATAATATACCTAATATACCTAAAGGAAGGACCAAGGTCAAAATCTATGGCATCGCTGATGATGTTTTATAGCAATGTCCAAAAGTAATCATGCATATGTACTTTGGTGTGAATTCTCCTTCATCCTAACAATTAACAATTTAACAACTAACATTATCATTTGCTAAAAAAAAAAATATATCGCATCATTGTTAAAAAAAAACCACCTCTATAAGAAAATTATGTTGTTATAATTCCTTTTGAAATTTTGTTCATTTATTCCATATGATCTGACTATAAATGTGAAATTAACTAGTATTGATATGAGAGAACGTTACGATATATGCTTCATAAAATACAATAAATATGTAGATAAGTTCTGCATGCATGTAAATAAAATATGCGTATGATAATCCACTGACATACTTACAGTCCTAGGTTAACCTCCTAGTTTGCCATCTGGCTTCGAGTTAAACAAAATCGGGAGAAGTCCAACCCCTTCGAAGCCCTTACAAAGTTTATTAAATTTCTGATGCGAGACATACAATGCTTCACACCTTCAACGATAATCAATTGCATATCACGTCGTGCACATCCTTTTGTCTACTATGTATGTTACATTATTGTTGTCCCGACTTAGGGTCATTTTAAAATGCTTCTCTGGAAAGTACTTTTGCTTATAAACATTTTGATTAGCAACAATCAAAATGTCTATAAATTCAATTGTTTCTTGATAAAGCACTTGGAACTCTTTAAGAAGCACTTGCTAGGTATTTTTCATGAATGCACTTAGAAATGCTTTCACAATTTTGAAGGATTTTAATTTTTTACGTCAAACATTTTCAACACTGGTTAGTTTTTTGAAAGAGGTTTTCGCTATTCCTAAAACTCTTCCAAACATGCATTTTAACTGCGATATGAAGTTTTAACTTTGATGTTTATATCTAGTAGTGGTGCAGTATATAAGGATAAGGCCCAACTATTTGATCCATCAGTTCTCTCTTGTGTCAAGTTTTCATCGATCCTTGAGCGTCCATCTTGAAGTGTTGTCAAAATAGGAATAGGATCCTATTCGGATCCTCTTTGTAAGGATCCTAGGAATCACTTCATCGTACTCGTTCATCTGTCATCATGCAATCAGAAATTATTTTAAATTTTTTTATTTAAAATTGAAATAAATAAAAAAAAATTCAAAAGGATTTTTGACCGAAAATTGGCAGCATAATATATGATGAACAGACACGATGAAGTAATCCCCGAGATCCTAGGATCCGGAAAGAATCCTCATCCGTTGAAATAATCATGGCATGCATCTTACATTGAGAGTAAAATATTAAATGTCACTCGTTTAACCTTCTAGGGGGATTTATACCTAAAAGGTTTATTTTTCTATTCTTCTATTGGTTTGGCTTTCCTATAAGTTCATAACTTGGGGTGAAAGGGTTATATATCTTAGTAGTTTAAATCTATGGGTGCATTTTTGCTCATCACCTTATTTATCACTGTTAGATAAGTTTAAATTTAAAATTTGTGTCTATCCACTGCACAGATTTCAAAATGTAAACATATTGAACAATGATAAATAAGTCGATAAGCATCACAATCACTTGAGGATGGTGAGCAAAAACATTCTCAAAATCCAGAGAGAGAGAAAGCTAGCTGCCCCCAGGAGGACAACTTTAAGCCTACAAAAAAAAAAAAAAAAAAAAAAAAGAGAAATAAATAAAAAGGTGTATGAAAAACAAAATTCCATTCTTTCGAGGACAAACTACATGTAGTCCATGTAGTTTGCACAAAATTCTACTTCTATCCCTGCAGTTTCAATTTTATTCAGTTTTTGGTCCCTATTGTTTTCTATTCTGTTTCAGTTCAAGGATATGTATTAACTTTAGCTCTGATACCATGTTAGATTACGAATGTTCAAAGAAAAATCAATTGGAAATACGTGGAAACGCCAAGTTCTTTTAAGTCCTTATCGAAAAATCAATTGGTACTTGAGTATGCTATCATGAAGTCCAATTATCACACAATACGTTCTTCACGTGTTAGATAGACTCTTAATCTCCACACAAGAGGAGCCGCTTTGATTTTAATAGAAAGAGGAACCTTTGCCCTAGTTTTTAAAATTGTCTAAGCCCCTACCTCCTATTTCCAGTTTAATCTAATTTTCTAGATGAATTATATTCGTACAAATGGCATCTTTTCTACTGTAAGTATATCATGGATGGTTTATTTCTTTCATACAATTAATGCACATAATTATCTACTTCAGTTTGGGAAAGCTTCTGGAGCGTTACCAGATGCATAGTGAAGAGGAAATTGGTGCTTCCAAGAATGTTGGTGGTACTGACAAGGTTAGCATCAAAGACAATTGCCAGGCACCATCTGGGTTACCCCCAGAAGATTGGATTTATAACTTCAATTTACTGTATTTGTTAGGACTTCATGTTTTGTATCAGTGTCGAAATAATTACAAACACCAGTAGCAATACTTGCAGCCTATCGTCTCTTCTCACATTCTGCTAATCTCGGGTGCAGAAGCATAATGCGGAATGTAGTGATCTCCGCGCAGGCGCTAACCTCTCTCTGAAAATGAGTCAAAGGTAAGTATCATGTACAGAAGCTTCGTTACATTCACCCACATGACCGGGATCTGATTATGTGTTTGCAGTGGTATGGAGGCACAAGACCTTGATAATCTAGATGTTCCAGAGCTCACCCAGCTTGAGAAGGAATTGGATGCACTTTTAAGACAAACAAGATCAAGAAAGGTTGTTTCTTTATGCGCAGACCATTATTAATTAGTTCATATTCTGGTTTCACTTAGACTGGTTTCAATGGATCTTTCAATTAAGTGAAGTACCTATTTTCGGAATATAAACCTGCATATATAGTTTCTCTTTCTAGCAGTGATTGCGTCGAAGATCAATAATGTTTGAAACGTCTGTTCTCTTTTGTTATGTTTTTGTCCTTGAGTTTTGGAAGTTGGCAAGTTCTGTTGTTTCCATGATATCAAGGTATTTTCTTCATGTTTTGAGTGAAGTTTAAGCTACAAAATATATGATTCGTCTATGAAACTGCAATTTCATGTGTAACAACATCGACAAGTGTTTTACGACACAAGTTTACTGATATTTGATCATTTCAGTAATTCCAGAGATTAACATATATGTGCACTAATATAAATTCGATGGTGTTCCTGTGTCACAAATAACTAGGAATATGAAGAAAGAAAAAATGGGTTCGAGTCACTCAACTATCATTGAAATAACCACACAGTAGTAACAGATGCATGAAGCGTTTATATAGTTTGTGTAGTGTATTGGAAGTACAGTAAGTCTAATAGATTGGTGGTAAAAACTCACTTGAGTACTACTGATAATGCAGACGCAGCTGATGATGGAAACCCGTACAGCTCTTATCGAGACGGTATACATTCTTTCTCTGTTAATGGAAGGGGTTCTAATTCTATTCTATTGTCAATTGCATTCTGTTTGAGGGCATATCCACGTTACACATATGCGGATCAGTGGTCATGTGTACTGTGAGATGCCCTCCCTCGAACTCACGGTTCTTGCAGGGACTTGCATTTTTGTTCTTTCATTATTTTTGTGGTTTGGGAGAAGGGGAGGGGAAAGTGTAGATTAAAATCGACTATAGTGTTTCACTAATATTTTTCTTATATACTCAGTTGTCTGATCACTTGATCACTTGATCACTGTAAGTTGTCTGATCACTTGATCACTGTATTTCTGCTGGTGCCATATATATCTACATGTTCTATGTTACAGAATTTTAATTTGATGCGGTTGATAAGTTGGTTTAAATATTTGTGGAGTGATTTGGACACAGTTTTGATTTGAATTTGGTGTATTATGCATGGCTCTAATTCTGAACAGGAAAAACGGCTGAAAGAAGAGAAGCGTCTCATAGAAAATGAGGTATATACGTATATAATTATGTATTTGTTGAGTTATTGGAGAAATGAAGGTTGAAATGGTGATAGAAAAGCAGGTGAAAAACAAGTACTCACAGTCACTTGATGGCTTTAATTTATCAGATTGCAGCACTGAAGCTGAAGGAGCAAGCAGAGCAAGCACTGACCTGCCGACTAGGAACCGGATCAGCAGAGCACTTCCTCCGCAAATAACACCAACAACAACAGCTGCAGCAGCGACTATGTTCCGGCCACCAAACTTCATTTAATTGTTTTTCAAAAAGTAAAAAATGACGAGACACAGTACAAACCAACTCAGTTCAAGCCCAGGATGTGAGACAAATAGTCCATGCAGGGCAGGGTGATCATTAAAACAACAAATAATTATTGTCCTTAATTAAAACACAACCAAAAACTGATTCACAGAGATTTCAAACAGTAGTACTTGCAACAAAAAAAAAGAGATATACTTCCCCGTTAGGAAACATTTACAGATTGCCATCACATGAATGAATTACTCATCCGGATATATTTCAAGATTCCAGAAATTGACCATTCTTAGAAAGAGAAGAAAAGGAAGAGATGGGGGCAACGATGGAGGGAAACATCGTTGTTTTGGGCCATGCCAAAAGATTTCACTACAAGAGCAGCGAGAGGGTTCCTGGATTATGTATGAGGGTTCCTGGATTATGTATGAATGCAGCCTCAAAGACTATCCATATCTGCTGTTGGCAATGATGGTGATGAGCTGCCAACTCCGAAAGAGCGATAGGACCACAGAAAAGAGGAAGAGAAAGTTTAAGGCTACTGTCGTTGCTTCTGCTGGCGGCGACTGTGATGATACTGCAGCGCAATCAAGAGCTAAAAAGAAGATTCCAAGAAAAACTGATGATAAATTGGTGGCTGCTGATTCGATTTCTACTCCCGCTTCCATGTCACTTCATGATGTTAATGATGATCCGTACAGTTTCATTAATAGGATCAATATTCAGCATCATTCATCGTTCTTCCACTTTTTCCATCTGCGAAAGACTTTACGAACGAGCCATTAATCCTCAGATTCCATTACAAATTAACAAAACTAACAACAATCGATAACGAGAGGTTTAATCTGTTAAGATCCTAAATTATTTCCAACCAAACTTCTTTCCCGGCAAGAGGCGCCAATTTGCATTGCCATAGCCGGAGACGGTGCCTCAAGCTCTCCAGCCGTGCTTGTGGAAATGTTAATATGACGTTGGTCGCTGTATGGTTACAGTAGCAATCTTGTTGATTGATTTAGCTAGGGTTTGTTTTTTTGGCTTGGCCTATTGTACATGGTTTCGGGTTAATGGGCTAATATGATTTTGCTTAATATCAAATAACTTGGCACATAAGGTTAATGGCTAATGTGATTTTACTAACTCGAGAACACAATTGATAATGAGTACGAAAATACAAAATCCACGAGGCGTTTTCGATTCACAAACCAGCCATCTTCTCTACTGCGCAATGGCACAAGGCCACCAAGTGGTACAATTCAAAACAAAAGAACATTTCAAAAACTAGATAATGACATAAAGTACAGCAGAATCCTAATCGTTTAAGTTTGACAACCAACACCTGGTGAGTGACTGGTATTCTCCCTTGTTGATAGGCCATAGAATATATGCCTCATCAGCTGTCAGGCAGTCTCATCACTACTTCAGATGGTGGTCGTAAAGTGCAAACCATCTCTTTCGTCTTCCCAAAATAAACCTGCAATAAGCAGATCAATGACAATTTAAATTCCAAAGATAAATATACGAAGCCCTTTGTAAACCTTACTGTTTGGTTCGAGTGCCAGTGAGACATCTAGTACGTGGTAACCCAATGCTTTCAGCGGTCATGGATGGCTCTTAGTTCCATAACTTGACAAAACATTGTGTAGTCGGAACTGTAGAGCAGGATGTAGAAACGTAAGTGTGCATGTAAGGAAGCACATACCTGATCGAGTGAATTTCTCAGCTTGCTCTCCATTTCTTCGATCATTCTTCCCATGTTACAAATATGGCCTTCTTGAATTGAGAGGTGCATATTCATCTACAAAGCCAAAAAGAATGAGTACTTTATCCATCCCAGTATATCATACAAGTAGTACATGCAGGGCATCACAGCAAAACAGATTTTGAGTGATCATTCAAACAGCTAATTTTGCGCCCAATTAATTTAAACCATATCAGCTCCAACAATATAACACAATCAATCAAAAATTGATTCACAGAGATTTCACAGCACTTTCATTGGCGTACATCAAGTTCTCTAATAACTATCAAAAGGGAGAAGAGTAGTTAACTATTACTTTCAATAGCTACTAAGTGTTTTCCTTTTTCGGTCAGCACTAAATAAATTAGGGTATTTACAACAAAAACAAGAGCAAAAGTTCCCCGGTAAAAATTCCTTCTCTTAGAAACACGCTTATCACTAAAATGTTGAAGCCCCAAGAGCCAATTAGATGCTAGAGCCTAGACCATGCCAGTCCATCTCAAAGCATTTATAGATTACAATCACATGGATGAATTACTCAACCAGATATATATGGTGCTCACAATTTGAAATTTCCAGAAAATGCAAAAATAAAATTGAATACATTTACAAAAGAAGCGAAGAGGAAGAGATGCGGGTGACAAGGGGGAAAAACATCTCTCTCTGAACTGACTTCTTTGTACCTCTCAAAAAAATGTTCCCACAAGCAAAAATTGTACAGAAGGTCAAATTCCTCAATTGAAAAAGAATAAAGTATGATTACCTGTCGTCTAATTGATCCAGACAAACAGAATGTGCCTGATGACTCATTATCTGTAGTCAAAGACAGCATGACAGTGCTGGTTAAACGGTATTGGGCTGTCCCTTCCTCCTCCGGACCCACCTATGTAAAAAAAAAAAGTTCCGGAATGACAATTGGTGGAAGTGTGAAAGGGGGGAGAGTGTTAGGACTACATGAACACCTTCACCAGAGACCTACATTGTTCCTACCATGACAAATAGAGTTTACCTCAATCACATGTATAGCATCCCATGCCCCCTCCTGCAGATAACCCCTCCGGCCTTGCCCTGTCTTGGAGCCATCTGAATGCCCTCAAAAAATAAAAAACAGCAAATATACATATAACAGAACATAAATTGAATTTTGCATCTCCTAGAAGAAAGTTCAGGCAGTATACCTTTCTTGATTAAAAAGCAGCCGACAAAGCCTTCGTTATCATCCTCCCACATATAAACTGAAGAAATGCCACCTTCATAGTACCTACCAAATTACCGGTTAATCAAAGCTGTATCAAATCTTCAGAAGGAAACAAAGAACTGAACCACTATGCTAAAACAAATTGCATGAGGATACTTACAACACATTCTTGCCTTTTTCCTTTTTTTTTTTAAAATTAACTAATGGAAAAAAAATCATTTTGGAAGTGTTTTATACTGTTCAACCAAAACCAATGCAAAGAATAACAGAAGAACGAGGTAAGTAAAGGACCTCACTGGTCACGATATACGGCAAAGATGTCGTTTGCTTCAACTTCAAGTTTCCTCAACTCTAAAGATGGGAGGCTGCCGTCTTCTAGCAGCGGATGATATTTGTTTGACCAAGGTGATCTACATGGAAATATAGTAGTACAAAATTATCAATATCGACAATAGATATTCACAGAACACAAAAGATTATACGAAAAAAGAAACTGCTGGAGTAATCACACCAATTAAATCTGCATATGAACCAAAACAATAAATTAAATTAAATTAAATTAATCAAAATATACCAAACATCCAGATTCATAAATCAAGGCCAGATCTGCTACCTCTAAAATGTCCTTAAAAAATGTAGCAATTAGTGTGTAAAATATCAGAAAACTAACACCAACCCATCAAATTTGACAAAAGATTTGAGGGTTTTACCTGTAAGAGTCTGCATCTCTGTTATATTCACACAAAATGAACTCCTTCCCGTATACCATATCGCACAAAACCTGATTTTTGGGAAATCAGAGCAACGCAGTGACTTTAAAATTTGAATTTCAAAAGAACGTTTTGTTTATTTTTTGGGACTAAAATGAAACCCTATGAGAAAGAAAATGGAAAGTGAAAATAGGATTGGATTGGATTTTCTCGGGAAACAAACAGGGGAGAACCTGGAGAGGCTGATCGACTTGAGAGAGGAGATCGGAGGAGTGCTGGGGGAGAAGGGAGAGAAGGGCGGAGAGAGCCGTCTCAGTGTGCTTGGGAGGCATCCGACGCATCAGTCCCATCGCTGCTTCCATTTTCCCCTTGTTTTCTTTTTCTTTTGTTTTTCTGGTTCGAAATTCGGATTTTGATTTCCTTCGTTTCACGAGTCTCTAATTATTTTTCTGGTTGTTTGGTTGTTCGGGTATTATAAACTCCGAGAAGCAAAAAGAAAAGAGGCGCCTTGTTTTGTTTGACCCGAGTTTCCCTCGCGGGAACTCCCCACTCACGCACACACTTATTTGTGACTATATTATTATTTATTGATTTTAATTTTCTTATTGACAATTCGAATTTAAGCTGTCTTTCTTACATTATATTATTAGGCTAAATTTTTGTATTTGAAACTAATAAGTATTAAGTAATTTAGTTATACTCATCATTTTTTAAACAAAAAATATAAATTTGTTCAGACGTGTTTTTTAAATAAATGGAAGTGTTTTAGGTTTTAAAAACACTTAAAAGTGCATTTTAAAAGAAACACCAGTTATGTATTTTTATGCAAAAAAACACTTCAAGTGATTTTCTAAAATTCACTTGCAATTTTTTACGATTTGGTTCCAAAAATCACTTTCATATCAAAGAGACCGTTACATTCATATACTTGGATCCAAAACTAGTGACCGGTTGCGTTGATTTGTTTTAATATTTATGACATTCCTCTTTACTTATAAATGAGAAATCTCATATTCGATGCCTAGTAAGTGGTTGACTTGTTATGTGGTATGGTTTAATTTCACCTATGCCCACACACAAAATGTGTGAATTTTTTTACTTTGGTTATTAATGTGAATCTTTGGAAGTAACGGATCGAAAATCCGTGATGCAGATCTTCCGAAATGAATTACGTAGGGATGTGTTTTATGTAAATTATGTATTCTATCGGTAAGAACTCTGAGACGTGATTTGATCATTGTTCTATGCGACATTGGTTCATGATGTCTCGATATGCGTGCTAGGGAGTCGTAGCGTGGACCTCAAGTGAGTGAGTATTTTCCTTTCTATCGTGTGTGCGTGTGTGTCTATATATATATATATATATATGATTGATAATTCCACAAACATTTATAAATTGATTATTACTTATGATTACTGTGAATGCTTTGAAGTACTAATGTGAACTACGAATGGCTTGATCCCTGTTTAGGGTATGTAGGCAGTCTAACAAGACGTTAGATGTAGCCATACAAGAAGTGAGATTAAATAATTGAGACAATAGCCTTATTTAGGGAATTGGGTAATGTGAGGGACATTGGTGGAAAATGTGAGATTTAACCTTATGATTTGGTGGTTAAATGTTGGTCATAAATCAATGTGTGAAGAATCAAGAATTTGAAGGAAACGTAAGTAAAGATAGTTAATTAAACTAGTGTCTAGTTGGACTTATCACTGATAATTATTTCTCGAAAATAAATAGTTCGGGAGTAGGGCGTTACGGCTTATGCATTTTTATGCCATATTATATATATATATATATATATGTATGTATGTATATAATTGAAAATGCGATGTCATGGTTGAGTATTAGATCGCATCACGGTATATCCATATGTATATTACCTGCACATAATTATTGTGAGCACTTTGAAGTGCAAAGGTAAACGCAGGACACCCAGGTAAGTTCAGGTGAGTTTATGGTATTAGTTGAAATGATTGAGTTATGGCATGACTACATGTATGTTTTAGGCAACTCCGACCTTGTCGTACATGTTGCGATTGTAGGCAACTCCGACACTGTCGTACAGGTTGCCCATGAGTTGTATATGTTACAATAGATACAGTTATAGCCTGGTGTTAATGCTCCCGCCCGTGGCCAGGGCACAGTTCTTCACGTGATGTTCACCTCCCACACCTTACGCTCACCTTGGATCCAAGGTTGGTACACAATCCTGTCATACAGACCACTATAGGTGGTTCCGACTTGTAGGTGATCCGTGATTATTTGCACAGTCTTCACGTGATCGTAACGCCGAGCGTACTTATTTACACTCAGTCCTATCGTACAGACCACTAGAGGTGGTTCCGACCCGTGTGCAGGGATATGTGATGAACTATGGGTTCAACCGTACAGGGCACAAGAGGTGGATTTGGCTAACATATTACTTTTCATGGATAAGTCCTACAGGTCACTATAGGTGACTCTGACTTATGTGCTAGCATTGATTGATGAGATATGGAAAAGTCGTACAGGTCACTATAGGTGACTCTAACTTATGTGCTAGCATTGGTTGACGAGATATGGGTGAAGTCGTACAGGTAACCATGGGTGATTCTGGCTTGCGTACTAGTATATGTTATTAAGCACATGATTATTTATATTGCTAATGAGATGCTGAGTAGTGGTATACTTCTGGATTTACTGTTAGTATACATTTGATTTCATACTTCTACGTAGTATGATTTTCTGGAAACTATACAGGTTTTACGGCGAGGGGTTACTACCTTTGATTATTGAAATGATTTTGAAAATCTTTGTTTGCCCACTCACACTTTCTATTTTGCACCCCTCCAGGTTCTAGTAGCAAATTTCCGTATCGATGAGGACTTGTGTCACTCCCAATTCAGGTGGCTCCTTATGATGGTATAATTATTATCTTACTTCACTGTACTTTTCTTATGCTCTGTATCACGTGTGAAATGGGTCCATACCCGCTCACCGCGCATTTGTGTATATAGGCATTTTTAGTTTTAAATTTATTCACATTTTAGACATTATCACATTCTATGACTTCGTCACCTTCCAGGTGTCGCCTAGCACAGCTCGATTCGGAGTTTTAGTGGACATTCCTGGTCGGGATGTGTCAAGAAGAGAGTGGAGAGAAAGTGGGAGTGAGGAGAGAGGGAGAAAGGTTGTTTTTTTATTTTTTTTTAAATTAGAGATGATAAACTTACATGTAGGTGAGGTTTAAAAAAAAAGCAAAATTTTGTTTTGTGAAATTACGTTACTGTCCTTAACTTTTTTGTTGTGATAGAAGACATAGATGTATTGTCACATCCTGGCCCGGGCCCCCACCACATCCCGGGCTCGACTTCGCCGTAGCACGTTATTATCTACTTTGGGCCCCGACCATGCCCTCACAGTTTTGTTTCTGGGAACTCACGCGAGCAAAACTTCTCAGAGGGTCCCAACCAGAATCATGGCGTGCTGGCCATCACGCCTTGATTTTGGTCGGGATGTGCCATGTATTTTCACCCTCTTTTGGTTGACAAAAGAAGTTTCATTAATATAGTTTTATATTATACCTCTCCTCTAAAATGTAGAATATCATTATAAAAATGAAAAAAATTTATTTGGATATGTGTAGCAGAGGAGAAAAAACTGGAGTCAAGAATGTTCATTGGAGAGAACCTTGGTTTCAAAACTAAATTTGAGTTTCACTAATTAAAGTATGTGCATTAGAGGCGGTTAAAATAAAACTCAAATATTAAAATTTTTTATTGGAATAACTTTTTCATAACAATTTTATCAAAAAAAACTTTTTCATAACAATAAAGAGGAAAAGCGTTTTCCGTACATTCATGTTTATTTTTAATATTTCAGCTGATTAAATTAAAAAAAAATCAATAGCAAATACAAACGTGGATTTTTTTTTTATTATAACAAAAAAATGTGGTAAAAACATTTGAGGATGCCATGGAAAGAGGATATTTTGCATCCAAAATAGGTGTGGCCTCTTTGTGATCTCAATCATTGATTGATACATATTAAATTTTAAATAATAAATTTTAAATAAAAATTAAATTTATAAATACGTATTAACCAATAATTAGAGTTGCAAACACACCACATCAGAAAATGAACTCTGCTTTTGGAATCGGAATCAGAAGCAAAAGCAGCCCCAAGTTGTCGGTAGAAAATGACTTTTGTGGTCAAAAAATGATTGGGGGTTTGGGAGGTCTACACGCTGGACACTCTTTGTCCATGTGCTTTTAGCCTTTTATGTTACGTATGCAATATCCAACAACAATTTGTTGGTAGCCTTTGGGAGTGGAGTAGAATCCCGCCAACAAATGGCAGACCCACTCAACAAAATTGTGATTTGGAAATCCAATATAGTTAGTAAATTTGCATATAATATATGTATTAATAATTATGTATGGATATGTTTTTTTTTTTAAAAATACTCTGTTTTTTATACACTTTTTATTGATTTGTTAAATTGCATGTATTTTAAAATTTCAAATTTTCATGTTTAACACGCGTTATTTTGCAACATTTTTTAGTAATACATATAAAATTCACATATTCTATTCGTAACCTTAACATATTATTGAAAAACAAAAATAAATAAGTATTAAAAATATATAAGAATTGCCGAATTTTTCAAAATACCTTTTAGCAAAGTTGCGGAATAATATACGAACATATTTTTCATGTCCTATAGCTAATCCGTATTTTAATTTAACCCTTGTAATACTTTTAGCTAGTGGGATATTGTTTTGATGTGGTGGTACCATAAAGTATATCGTAAGATGTTTTAACTATTTAACGAGGATGTAATATGCAAAGACATTCCCATTTCTCCTGTAATAAACGGTTATATGTGGTTTATACAAAGAGATGGCAGCACTTAGGCTCGGTTCGCCGTGGCACTGGAGGGGCATGGGAACATTTCTTCTTGATTGTAGCCAAATTATTGCGCAAATTTTCTTTGATTTTTTTTCCTTTCCCCAAGTTCCCACTCCTGTTTACTAGAAATGAAACAAATAATAAGCTCTTTTCCTTTTTTGCCAAGAAGTTGCCATTTACTACACCCTTCCTCGTTAAGCGACTTCCCCTCTTTTTCGATACCCAAACCCCTCAACGTCTCAACTCTCCTGGTTATTATTTTCCTCTGGCATAACTCCTAATGTTACTTTCATCCCCACAACATATGACATTACTCTGTGGTCTCTATCCGGGACTTCCAGGGACATGGTCATCAAGCGAATGGTCTCGGTGGTTCGTTCCTCTGTGGTTTTTGCTCGTTTCTACTTCCCGGAGAGAGAGAGAGAGAGAGATGAGTAGGTGGTGATGGAGCCTGGTATGGAGAAGGTCGGGGGATGGTGGCGGCTGGTATGGGGAGCGCCGGGGGTGGCTTGATATGGTTGGGTTTTCAACTTTCCCTTATATCCACCTTTTCTATTATTTTTATAATTTTCATGTGCCTTGTTTTATTAACACTTTAGGTGTTGTTAAATATACCCGCGTTTTCTTACGACCAACTTCAAAATTACCTTCCAAAATTTTCTTCCAAACCCACTCCAACCTAAGGAAGAAATTTGGGCTAAATGCTAAATGCTAAACCAAAGCCAAATTCCTCCCAAAATTTAGTCCAGAAATCGAAGTGGACTTCACCCAATATTTATCAAAATTTAAAATTTTTTAGATTAAAATGTTCATAAAATTAATTTATGATAGTTTACATATTTATTTTGTTTAAAAAAAATTTAATTTAACAAAAAAAATAGCCTAAGTTCATTCTTTAATAATCCCGGACTAAAATTTTAGGCTAAAACAGTTGGAACAGAAAAATTGTTTCTGGTTAAAATATTTGATTTTTAGCCCAACTATTAGAGATGATTTAACAAGTAGCTTTTTCTTTTTGGCCAATTTTTTTTTTTTGGTCGAATTTCTTTTTGGCCAATTAATTTTTGTGGACTTGAAACGATGTGTAGTTGACTTGACTTTGCTAGTTCGATTAAAAACCATCTGCCCCCGGTGCCAATTTGCAGTTCCGGTCAGACGTCAGAGAATCGCTGACTTGCCAACAGCACGATGTATACCCCGTGCAGCAAGTACGACGTGTTCTTGAGCTTTAGAGGCGAAACACGCAAGGGCATCACGGACCACCTCAACTGTACATTGAAAGACAACAAGTTCAATGTCTTTCTGGACGAGGACGAATTAACTAGAGGGGATGCTATAACAGAAAAACTGAAGCAAGCAATCAAAGGGTCCAGACTTGCTGCCATCATGTTCTCAAAGGGGTATGCGGAGTCCAGATGGTGTCTTGAGGAGCTGGTGGAGATCATGGAGTGCAGAAGAACACTGGGTCAACTTGTTTTTCCGATTTTCTACGATGTTGATCCTTCAGATGTCAGGCATCAGACTGGTAGCTTTGCAACGGCGTTTCAGAACCATGAACAGAAGTTCAACGAAGAAGAGGTCCGATCGTGGAGAAATGCTCTTAATACAGCTGCAGGGTTGAGCGGCGAGGATTTTCGAGTGACTGATGGGTAATAACTTGTTTATTTCCTTTAATTTGAGGATTAATATATTATCTTACTAGGTATCACCGTATCAGAGTGTTCGGTGATGACTGTTTGTAGAAGTTTAACGAAAACTAATGAAAAATTCGAAAACTTTGAATTTTAACGAGAATGATAAAATAAAGGGTAAAGTGAATAGTATCAGGTTTGACTTTTTATATAAAAAATATGATTTTTCTGTTAAAGTGAACAGGAGATTTTCTTTAGAACTCGCTTTAACTTAGTATATTCGAATCTTACACACTCCTAATTAAATTCTGCACTCGTAAGGATTAAGGTATATGTTGGTACATTTTAATCCTTCAGTCTCATAGTAAATCTTACTTTTCCTTAATTATGGATTTTAATTCCAGGCATGAAGGAACGTTTATCAGGAAAGTTGTTGGCCAGATCGCTAGAAAACTGAAGAAAGCATGCTTAAATGTAGCCAGAAATCCAGTTGGAATAGATTCTCGTGTGCAAGAAATCAGTAATTATTTAGATGTTGGAGGATCCAATGATGTTCGCATAATTGGAATTTGGGGGATGGGCGGACTAGGTAAGACAACGATTGCAAAAGCTATTTTCAACAATTACCAGCACATGTTTGATGGTACATGTTTTCTTCGAAATGTGAGAGAAGATAAGAAACTGGTTGATTCGCAAAACATACTTCTGTCTAATATCTTGAGATCGGGCAACATAAAGGTGAGCACGGTTGATGAAGGGACTGAGGAGATAAAAACAAGACTTGGAAACATAAGGGCTCTTGTCATAATTGATGATATAGACTGTGTGACACACATAAATACATTAGCTATAAAACGTGACTCGTTTGGTCCAGGAAGTAGAATTGTTATAACAACAAGAGATGAGCATTTGTTACAGACGCTTGAAGTGGATAAGATATGTTCTCTGCCGGCAATGAATAAAGATGAAGCTCTTGAGCTCCTTAGTCGGTGTGCCTTTAGAAAGAATTATCCTAATGAAGAATATCTCGAAGTCTCAAGAGAAGCTGTTGATTATTGTGGGGGTTTACCACTTGCACTTGAAGCTGTAGGTTCTTACCTACGTACAAAAACCACAAGAGAATGGACAAGTGCATTGAACAAATGGAAAAGATCACAGCCTTGTCAGGAAATTCACAAAATTCTGAAGGTAAGTTATGACGGGCTTACTGATGGCCAGGTGAAGGATATATTCCTTGATATATCCTGTTTCTTTGTTGGAATGAACAAGGACCGTGTCATGGCAATATTGGATGGGTGTGACTTTAATCCAGCAATAGGCATTAGAGAACTCCATGAGCGATGCCTTGTAACTGTTGATCTAGAAAGCAATCTGATGATGCATCGTTTGACTCGAGACACGGGCAGAGAAATCGTACGTGCAAAATCCCCTAAGAAGCTTGGAAGTCGTTGTAGATTGTGGGATCATGAAGATGTAAAACACGTATTGAGGAAGCAATGTGTAAGTACATCCTCAATCCAATTGCATTTAATACATGTCCGTAATAAGGGAGAAAAAGTTACACTGATTTTGTTTACTGAATTATTTGAAAATTAACCCTGTAACACGTGACTAATTTAGATTGTTAAAACAGAACTGATGTCTAAGCAAACTCTATGGCATTGATCCAGTACTGGTGCTCTGCACTGGTTAAAATCTAAGCAAATAACCCTTGTCTTACTTTAGTTTCTTTTCCTTTCAAACAGGGAACGGAAGAAATTGAAGGAATTGCTTTAGATTTTCCAGAAGCTGACAAGCTTAGCTTCAGTACAGAAGCATTCAGAAATATGCGGAACCTGAGATTACTCAAAATAAAAGGCGTAAATTTCACTGGACACTGTGACCATCTTTCTGAAGAGTTAAGATGGTTGAGTTTGTCTGAGTTTCCTCTGCAGGCCATACCAGAAGATTTTAATCAACCAAACGTAGTTGACATTGACCTGAGTTGTAGCAATATACAAGTCTGGAAGAACTCCAACGTGGTACAATGCAAACCCAACCAAACTATCAATTCTTTCCACCAGGTTGTTTAAATACCAACGTCATGATTTCTCCTTCTATTTGAATTTTGATATTTGTTCCCTTTTGTCTCACAGTCACTTGAAAAGTTGAAGTTTCTCAATCTTGGTTATTGTGATCACCTGAAAGAATCACCAGACTTTACAAGAATCCCAAATATTGAGAGATTGATACTCGAAGCCTGTAAGAGTTTGTCCAAGATTCACCACTCCGTAGTACAATTGAAGAACCTTAAGTATTTCTCTGTTGCGAATTGCAAAAACCTTCGGGAAATCCCAGATTTACCAACAAATTTGGAAATCCTGAAAGCGGATGAGTGCATTGCATTGGAAAAGATGCCAAATTTTTCAGAAATGTCAAGTATGGTAGAACTGCATCTGAATCACTCCCCCAAACTCACTGAGATTCTAGGCTTGCGTAAGTCGTTTAACACTGTGAGAAGGATTCGTATGGAAGGGTGCACCAATCTCACTGCTGCTTTTAAAAAAACAATCCTACAGGTCATCTCTCTCTCTGCACCCATCTGTATACAGCTTATACATACATGCATGTATTAACTTTTTGTACAAATCTTAATTACTTAATGGTATAGGAATGGAGCGCGAGGGGAAATGGTGATCTTTTTCTCCCCGGAACTGATTTTCCACCAGGGTTTACATCCGTTGACCCTAAGGGTGAAATAGTAGTGCCGCAATGTTTTGGCTATGATGCAAAAGCATTGACTCTGTGCATTATTTATTCTTCAGACGACTCCCAATCCGGTGATTCTCTTTGCATCCGTGTTGCAAATCGTACCAAGCACACTGAGTTTTTCATCTCTCCAATGTATGCCACCGTAATAAATCGCCATGAAAGTTATATTTGGGTGGGACATATATCAAACAATGAGCTCAAAGTGAACGGTGGGGACAAGATAAATGTTGGTGCACACTTTTTAGAACACGGGAGTACCGATGATATTCATCTGAGGGTGCAGAAAATAGGGGTTTACCTGGAGCAGGAAAAACTAGTCAATGAATTAGCCAATTTTATCACGCGTTCAAGTGAGTATGACGAGGATGTCAAGGATGTCAGTCTTATGCAAGACCAGGTTGGACTCTCATCTGAGGAGAATCGATCTCGTAAAAGACTGAGGTCTATCCCTGGGTTGAAAGAATGCAAGAAATTGATGCCCTCGTAAACAGCTGCATGGACAAGGAGAAACAAAAAGGTGCGTAATACCGAGCTACAGCCATTAGAATTTTTTTTTTTTTTTAATGAAAAGGAGCAATTGAATTTGATTCTTTCAAGATTAAGGGCACGTTTGGTGATATTACTGTGTAAAAAAAAAACAAAAAAACAAAAAAAAACAGCTGTTTTCGTTGTGTTGTAGAAATAATTAATTGTTACTAAAATAATTAGGTGTTTCGTAAATTAAATTTGCAAAAATACTTTTATGATTGGTCGTTAAATAAAGTAATTAGGTGTTTAGACCAATTCCAATGGTGGGCTAAAGCCAAATTACTGTCCAAAATTTCCCCCCAAACCCACTCCAACCCAAGGAGAAATTTTGGCCTAAATGCTAAATGCTAAACTAATACCAAATTCACCCCAAAATTTAGCTTAGAAATCGAAGTGAACTACACCCAATATTTATCAGAATTTAAATTTTTTTAGATTAAAATGTTCATAAAATTAATTTACGATAGCTTACATATTTATTTATTTATTTAATTTAATTTAACAAAAAAAATAGCCTAAGTTCCCGGGCTAAACTTTTAAACTAAAACGGTTGGAGCAGAAAAGCTGTTTCTGGACTAAAAAATTTGATTTTTAGCCCAACCATTAGACCATCTCCAATGGTAACCTAAAACCTAAAAATATTTAGCCTAGAAAATTTAGGTTTTAGCCCAGAAATAGCTTTTCTACTCCAACCCTTCTGGCCTAAAATTTTGACCCCAGATTATCAAATAATGAATTAAGGCTATTTTTTTTAAATTAACTTTTAAAAAAAAAAATTATGTAGACTATCCTAAATTAATTTTATGAACATTTTAACCTAAAAATATTTAAATTCTGATAAATTTTGAAAAATCACTAAATCAATACATGAAAATCAAGATAAATCACATAAACTTAATACCAACGACATTTAATAAACCACATAAACTTAAAAAATAAAAAAGACAATTAATAAACCATATAAACTTAATACAATCGAAAAATCATAGACTACATAAACTTAATAATGATATCCACCATTTTGACTTGGTGATGGACTTGGGTGATAGTCTTGAGATGAATCATCATCTTGAAATATACTCCTTGTGACATTCCTTCGTAAAATTTCATTTTGCTTACCACATAAGTATCTCTTTCTCTCTGGAGTGTATTTGTCGAGGTCCTCCATTATCAAATTAGTTTCATACCTTTCTTGCTCCCTATCCCCTTCTTCCTTCATGGCCAAAAACATTTGGGCCAATTCTTCTTGCCGACGACACTGGTTTTCATTCATTATTGCCAGTTCGCTAGCAAATTGTGCATGTGTCAGATTTTGGGATTTCCCTTTTCTCTTTGCTTCCTTTTGCTTATCTCTACCCGGGGGCCTTGCAAAAGAAGAAGTTAGGATCATTTGTTCGACACCTTCATTGTCGGCAAAATTCAAACCTTCATTAACATTATTGGGGGGTGGGGCTTCATTATGAAATAATCTTCCACATTGTTGGTTCGCATCGGTTCCCCACCTCGGACAATCCTTGAGGATGTTCCAAGCATGATGCAACTTAAAAGCTTGATTTTTTGGTGTAGTTCTTGTCTTGTAAATTACCATTGCTTTGTCACCCTATGCAACAAATACATAAAAACAATTAGTTGCAAAATACTATTACGTAAATGACAACTAAAATATCAATAAATAAACTCACAATTTCTGAGGCGCCCCCTCCACTAGGCATGTCAACCATGGCTCTCTCTAAGCTTCATTTCCACAAAGTGCATGCTTTGTTGATAATCTTCCACCAATCATAAACACCACTAACTTCCCTTCGACCGGCGTTGGAGTTTTCATGGAACTTATCAACGATTTTACCCCATAAAACCTTTCTATTTTGATTGGTGTCGATGACACCATCTTCGCTAATCGAAATCCATGTCAAACATAAAGCAATATCTTCGTCAAAGGTCCAATTACGACCTCTAACATGCTCTTTTGCCATCTTGAAAATTCTGGAAATGAGAATAAATGGTATAAAGAAAAATTAGAAGAATTGTAGGAGAAAAGTGAGTTTTGTGTGGATTTTTGAACAAATACATAGGTATTTATAGAGTTTTTGGTTGAATTTTAAGTTAAATAATTTTTTAAAATTATTCTAGCCGTTGGATTTAAATTAGGACTGTTAGATCTTTTTTTTACTGTTATATTTAATTATATTTGATCTAAGCTGTTGAATTCAGTAAATACATAAATATAAAACTAAAAAAAAAAAATTTTGAACCTGGACCGTTGGATTAACCAACGGCCCATTTAATGTCAACGTTGGATTACAAAAAGTAGCCGTTGGGCTGCTTTTTGCATTGAAAGCTGAGGGAACACCCCCACGTGGGGTTGTTGGTTGGCTGAAAGTGCTCGCGCGTGCAGCGCGTGGGCGAGTCGAGAAAAAGGAACTGGGCTTCACACCCCCAGTTTCAATCTCAGTTGGTGGGGCCCATTTTGGTTTGTGGCTTAAAACTGGGCTGGTATTTGACCCTCAAATGAGTTTTAGGTTTTAGGTTAATTTTGGGTCATGGGTTGGAGTGGATTTTGGGAGGAAAAAAATGGGAAATTTTAGATTATAAGTCATCATTGGAGATGGTCTTGGAGATGCTTTTATTAAATTAAATTTGCAAAATACTTTTATATAAAAGTATTGTGAATAAGAACAAAATGACACACTGTTCATTCATATTTTTAATATTTCTTATTTTCTACAAATTATCTCTCTTTCTACATGTAGACGCACTCTCTCTCCATTTTCTCCATCTTCTCTTCCCATACCCATCCTCACTCTCTCTTTTCTCTTTGTAATCAAGATTCTTTGTAATTCAAATTTTGATTTTTGAAGCAGCAATTGAAAAGCTATAAAGCTGAAATCAAGCAAAAGATTGTATAGAAGAGTGTCTGTTGGCGGTGCAATATGGACACCGCATTTTCTCGTCAATGTCCGATCTGTAAAGCTTAGACCTCACCAACGCTATTGAAAGTCAGAAATTTGATGGATTCGTTGCATGCGGCCTCACCCTCGCCTTCTCTCTCATGTACACAAAGCTCAAATTCCATTAGGACAGAGAGCCAAAAGTAGCATAGAATCTAAAATGGATATCTTTCTCTTACCACTTTTGACGTTGGGTCTCTTTCTGTTAAACAAGAGTCCTTGTCCCAATCCAATCCGCCACGTTTGCAAACAAACCAAATCATATTTATATATGTCATCTTGTCTGTAAGATATAGATGGGAATACTTTGTATCTCAGTAGGACTCTTTGTAATCCAATGTATCATACGTTTTCAAATGAATGAATTTGTGCTACAGCTTCTACAATTCAATTTACCTGTTACAGGTTTTCTACTTTCTCTCTCTAGACTTTGTTCGGGCCATATATGTCCCTCACACAGCTCTTCGGGGTTTTGCATGTCGGGCAACGTTTACTGCTTAGTGTGCTGCAATATGAGTTTGCTGTTAGTTTGAATGGTCTTAGGCTCACAATCAAAACTAACATGGATCTGAGTGTGCTACTGTTATCTTTGTATAACAAATTGTTCTTTTTTAGTTATGAATTGGGTTGATTACTTGCGCTACAAGTTACTTAGACTTCTTGATCTTCCTGGATTGTTACAGATGAGTTAAGTCTATATAAGGTTCTTTTTCTTGCCTTGTAAACATTTACTCATGATAACATATGTCGAGATAAAGGGAGTTCAAGGTCTTTCCAACCATTTCTTTGATTACAGTTAACATTAGAGAAGCAAGGTTAATTAGCTTAGCCAAATTAATCATAATTTTGAATGAAAGTCAGTTGAAAATGGTTTAAAACACAAAGGTAGATGCAATAAGCAACATATCTACTTTATATAAGCACAAACAAAAGAGAATTGAGCAAGATTATAACCTTGTCGGATAAGGTTCATCCTGTTGCAGCCATTTCTCTTTGAATTTTACAAGGGTTGTAATCTTTGTAGAATGAGAGGTAAAGTAGGTTTACTGTAGGGATTTGATACTACAATACTGGGAAAAGTAGCAGAGCTTCTAAAACTTGACAAAAGATGGCTTTCTATGGTGAATCTATGATTAAAAGAACATAGTCTAGACAAACTAAATCTTTCTTGTTTCTTGCTTGTCTGAGAGCAAAGTGGGATGTCTTTTGATCGATTGGTTGAGTGTCCTTGTTTCTGGTGTCCCTTGCTGCTTTTATAGACCTTCTAGCCCAACTGTCCAAGCTTTGCCTTTTGGTGATGTTATCCGGAATGTGGTGAGTCACCACTTATTTACCCATCCATGCCCTTGAAAAGTACTTTTTTGTTAGGGTGAGCTGCCCTCTGTCGCCCATCACTTCTAACATAGGCTTGTTGCCTAGTCCTTGGCAAAAATGAATTTTAATTCTTCTTGGGCTGTTGGCTTGTTCGAGCCCAATCTTTCCTTTGCTTTTTGTATTCTTAGGCTTTCATTCTCACCAAGCCCAATAGTAAGTATCCACTCAAACATATTCTCTCTCTCTCTCTCTTTCTATGATGTTTGTAGTTGTTAGAAGAAAAAAAAAAAAAGACATCGACGACGAGGATTCACAAAATAAAGGCATACCGTTTGAGTTGGTTTTACTTGTTCTTCCCTTATGTGGGAACTATCAGCTCAAAAACTCAAATTAGTTTTCTAGCCACTTTTTGTCCAAACCAATGTGAGATTCGACCACTACACCCTCAAATTAGTCTAGGTTATGAATTTTATGAAAAATGGTTTAGTTTTAGTCACTGATCGGATTGTAAAAATTTACAGGAAAAAAACCCAAAAACCCAAAATCCAGCAAACCAGATGGTGACGGATAGGGGCTAGCGCAAGTAGGAGGGTGAGCTAATATTCCTTCAAGTTGATGAAATTTTTCCTAATGATGTCAACATAATCCGTCACGTGTGTGGTAGTGTGTGGCTGCACCTGAGGGTGTATGCTGACTACCTACCGACGTGTAACAATGTACGACAACACGTCAGTATCACTTTCAAGCGTCGTTTTGAGCAAACAGAGGGAGTTTTAAGTATTTTCCTTAGTATTTATGAACTTTGAGTAGTTTAATGATTACTATAGTGATAAGGAAGAATTATCCCCAGGATTTTAAAGGCCAGGCAAGGCAAGGCGGCTATGACGTGATGATGTATCAGTGAGTGGACTTTGTTTTCTAACCTTTTGTGTGACCATGATTTTCCTGTTTCGAATCAATGTTATCACAATCATCCTATTCTGGATCAGTGGATGAAATCTGTCAAATTCGCTGAGATTGACCATTCTTGTTTCGCAAGATATGGGAACATGATATGATATGAAATCAGCTAGGTTTCCTAGATTCTTGGAGATTTGTACAATCTAGGGATTTGGTATGCGCTGCAAGTAATCACACTTCTAAGAAGATGTAATATCTACTCCTAAATATCATCTGAGATTCTCGCGGTTTAATACGGATGTTATATCCTAAAAGGACTATCTCGACCGATATAAATACACCATTCTAGGAGTCATCACGGGTAATGCAATGTCGCATACTCTATTCTCTTCTCTTATGTACTGTTTGAGTCTCAAATAGTGCGTATAAACTTGACCGTCGGATAGCCTATGACTGCCACCCCACTGATCCTAAGGTTGTTTACAATTTGTTTACTATTTTACAAGTAGTGGAATTTGTGAATCTCCTCCCCTCGCGTCGGTGTGCGAGTTTGATTCCAACACTTATATTATATTTATATAATTTTCACATAGTTTTATGAATGTTTTACATCATGTCATGCTATTACTTTGAAATGTTACCTGTTGAGGTTGATTTGAGATCTATGAAATTATTATGGCTTGATTATACTTATTTAATCTGCTCATCATGCATGCTTACACTAGTGTCTAGTACTCGTCCAAGTCAGGACCAGCTTTATGTGTATGTTCACATCACAACGTTACGCTCACCTTAGATCCATTGTAGGTGCTAGCTTGTACTAGTTGCTTTTGCATCTACAACTTGTATGTGACGTGCTTAGCGCTAGTAGTTTCACACGTAAGTAGTACTTGTGCGTAGATTTATTACACCTATCTTGTTCCATGTAGCTACTTTCTGGGTGAACTTGTGTGTCTGCATATCATTGATGAGCGTATGATGTGATTTATCGTGTCCTTTAACATAACTGTTTTTATACTATTACTATGGTTTTCATACTTGTATGATTTTGAAGACTATATGAGTTTGACAGCAAGGGTTATTATGTTACAAAAAGCCAAAGATTTTTTTTTTCTTTTTTTGACAGAAAACGATATTCATTAAAAGGGAACACGTACATAGATAAGGAGGATATGGTGCATATTGGGCCTCAATAAAATCTTGCTGGGGATTTCAACCCGGACTAAGGGAAAATAGTGTCCCGCACCTTAGACAAAGAGAACTAACCTCCTAACAGTACAAACAAGCCATTACAATCTAGGACAATCTTCCAACAAAGCATCCATAATCTTCCAAAAAAGCCAAAGGTTTTAGAAACCCTAATTTTTGCCCACTCACACTCTCTGTTTTGTGCCTCTCCAAGACTTAGTAGCTGGATTCAGCGGTGACGAGAAATCATTGGTGGTTCTGATATTCGCATATAATAATATATGAATTTTACCTCATATTAGTTGTATAACATCCATCCAACCCAGGATGAGAATACTCTCTTTTTCTATTGAAATGTTAACTACGCTGTGACGCTCCATGGATTGTAATATGGGTTCCTTTTGACACTGTGCATTCTAGTTAATTTAGTTTTAAGTATGCTTTGACACTGCATGTTATGGCTTTTGTCACCAGTCCAAGCATCCGCCATCATGCATCAATTTCAGTGTCTGCTTGGATATCTGGGTCGGGATGTGTTAACATTACCTTCCCAAAATTTCTTAAATATGTACTTATAGGTTTGATTTCTCAAAATTTAATAAGCATAATAATACACTGCTTGCAAGGACTCAAGCTCATACATTAATTCTCAAACTTCCCAAATATATGTGTATGTATATATATGGGTTGGGAAAATTCTGATGCACACCTTATTGACACACTTTATTGACACACATTTTGACACATCATTTTGTGGGGCTTACTCTGTAATGTATTTCTATGATTTAACCATCTATCTTTTATGTATCCACTTTAAATATTATCTCTACAGAAAGTCACCTAAATACATTTTCTTCACTACATTTGAATGTTTTAATCGTTTTGAATTTATCTAACTTTTTGTAAGAATGATCTATTAATAATGAATTAAAATACAGACGATTCGGATCCTTAAAAAATATTAAGAAATGAGAACTACGTGTAAACATGTGTTCTCATATTTTGACCTCATTAGACCATCTCCAACCCTTGGGGATAAAGCTTAAAAATTTAAGCTAGAAAATTTTAAAGCATAACCTAGAAACTGCTTTTTTTCTCAAACTCTTATGACTTAAAATTTTAGCTTGAGATTATTAAATAATGATTTTAGACTTTTTTTTTTTCGGTAAACTTTTTGAAAATAAAATTTATATAGATTATCCTAATTTATTTTTACGAACATTTCAATATAAAAATATTTAAATTCCGTTGTGGTTATGGTTGAACGGGTACGGGTGTATCGGTTTATGCAATTACCCAACGGGTAAACGGTTATGCAGGTAAGAGCTTAAAAGGTTATGGATAAATAATCGCGATTACCCGTCTACCATAACCGTCGCCCATTTCTACTTGAGACTACATGGGATATTGCCTGTGAAAAAGATAATTACACTTATTCGTGTTGATATAAATAACTCATGATGTGTTTTGTATTGAATTGCAAGTTATACAATATTCTTTATATTGTTATATATACATGTCTAATAAACAACAGAAGAAACCCATATTGAGATTCAAGTCTGCAGAGTCCAAATTTGAAAGAAAAAAATGCTAGTAAACGATAGTATCATCTTAATCGGTTTCAAAACTAGTAGCAGAGCGCTGATTTTTTTTTTTTTTGCTAGTACTGAACTAAAGTGCTAATAAACGATAATATCATCTTAAATGGTTTCAAGATTAGAAGCAGAACGTGGACTTTTTTGCTGAACTAAATAACAACGGAGATTATATTCACACATTTTAAATTACTTTTTTCATATCTTCTTAATTTTTTATATTTTTCTATCAAATGTTAGTGATGCATAAAAAAATATTAAAAATATAAAATAATATAATTATGTAATTTAGAACGTGTGAATATAACTTTTCAATAAAATGGAAACAAGGGATAAGTTTAGCACAATTCCACGTAATTGACCTGGCACCATTCCACATAATTGACCTGGCACCATTTCACATAATTGACTTTAGTTCTGGAAAAAAAAAACAAAAAATAAAAAAAAAACAAGTGAGCACGAATGGTTGTAGAACCGGTTCCCATCATTTTCTTCCTTTTGTCTTGGGAGACAGCTGTTATTTTGTCTTCAACAAATAAAAAAATAAAATAAAATAAAATAAAATAAAATAAAATAAAATAAAAACAAGTGACCACGAATGGTTGTAGAACCGGTTCGCATCATTTTCTTCCTTTTGTCCTGGGAGACAGCTGTTATTTTGTCTTCAACAAACATTTGGTTAACCAAAACATTTTCTTCCGTGCTGAACTTTTTGATACCGTTGGATCAAAAAGAAAAATCGGTGGGTGGATCGATCGTAATCGACTCATTACTTCCCAGTTGCCACTTTTCCTTTTTCGGAGTTTGAGTTTGACTTTGCCTTTACGGTTGTCTGTAGATCTCAAATTTGATCTGTGCTGCCAAGAAATCCCTGGAGTATCAATTAATGGATTCATCCTCCAAAGACGATCGGATGTACGACGTGTTCTTGAGTTCTGGAGGTGAAGACACACGCAGGACCTTCACGGACCACCTCTACTGCGCATTAAAAGACCACCGATTCAAAGTCTTCATGTACCGATACGAATACGACTGCAAACTAGAAAAAAATCATGGAGATATACCAGAACATCTGATTGAAGCAATCGAAAAGTCTAAGGTTGCCGTCGTCGTCTTCTCAAGAGGGTATCCAGAATCCATGTGGTGTCTGGAGGAGCTGGTGAAGATCATATATTGCAGAAAAACGCTGGGTCACATATTTTTTCCAATTTTCTATGATGTCGATCCCTTAGATGTCTGGAGCCAGACTGGTCATTTTGCACAGGTGTTTCAGAAATATGAACAGGAAGTTGAAGAAGAAAAGGTACATCTCTGGAGAAACGCTCTGAAGGAAGCTAGTGATTTGGCCGGATTTAATTTTCGTACTTTACGGTAATTACATTCTTATTTCCTTTCAATTTTCCTTACTTTGCTGTGTGTTTTAAATTTCTCATCCATTATTTATTTAGTTATATTTATGATTAAATCACGCTTATAACTTTAAGAGTTAATCTCCGTTATTATTTTGGATTTTAATATTTCATACATGAATTTTTTTTTTTGGATTTTAATATTTTGGATTTTAAATCACGCTTGAAACCTCTTCGTCTTCCCCACCCGAGCCCACCCCCAGATCCCCCCTCACGCGACCCGCTGCTGGGTACCTCCTCTTGCGCATCGCCCTTAGCAGCCACTGCGCCTCCCACACCTGCTACTCGACGTCATTGGCCGCAGCAGCCACTGCACCTCCCACACCATTGCCATGGACTTGAGCTAGACAAGAAGACCATCGTCGGATTCGGAGGTTTCTAGGTTGTTCAGCGCATCTGGGCTATTGACTTGGGTTTTTGGGGTTTTTTGTGTGGGGTGGGTTTTTGGGGGGGGGGGGGGGGGTGGAGTTTGGGTTGCTGGGAAGGGGTCGATTGGGGAAGGGGAGTGTTTTTGGGTTGCGGATGGGTTTTTTTGGATGGGATGGGAGGTGAAGAGAGTGGAGGAGAGGGAGAAGGTGGGTCGGGAAGATGGGTTTTAGGTTTTTTTTTTACTCTCTTTTTTAATAAATAGGGTCAATTACTTTATTTTAAATGCATAAAAAATAATTTTTTTTGTCACATGATATAAATTTGGCAATCACGTTAGCATAAATGTGAATCTCGTCACATCATCACTTAATGGTTTATTTAACGAATTTTTTAACAGATGTATGAAATTGAAATAAAATGATAAGTAAATGTATGATATTGAAATGTTTTAAAAATGTTATAAGAAGTTGTAATTGACCCCAAACCTGAGGATAAAATGTAATTTACCCTAAATTTTTCATCAGAAAATTCGTTAATTAATAACGTCGTGCCCGCTACATGTCAATATGGCTCTGTGTGGATATTAAAAAAATTAGAAAATTAAAAATTAAAAATAATAAAAATAATAAAAATAAACCCTCCCACTCCTCCCTCTTCACCTTCCTGACCCACCTTTCCCCCCCCCCCCTCCTCCACCCTCTTCACCTCCCCTCCCTTCTTTCTCTCACTCACCCCAACCCAAATTACGCCGCTGCTGTTGCCTACTTCACCGCCATTGCCCAAACCCTAAACCTCCAAATCCAAATCGATGGCTCTGCTATGTTCACCACCAACTAGGAGATCGGCGGCCTCGCGACCGTGAACATACAACGAGAAGATCGGTGACCTTATCACTTTCCTTCATTCCTGCTGTACATTCATATGTTGTTCTCAGATGTGGTGGAGGAGAGGGAGGTGGGTCAGGGAGGTGAAGAAGGGGAAGTGGGAGGGACAGTGGAAGGGAAGAGGGAGGGGAAGAAATTTTTTTTTTTATTTGTTTTATTTTTACTATTTTTATTTAGTTTTTTAATACCCATATGGGCTCATATTGACATGTGGTACTTAATCATTGTACATGTGGACGCCCTAACGAAAAACTTAACGAATGTATGAAAGTGTTTTAAAATTATGACTTTAGCTACTCGACTGGGATGAAAAACTTTATGTATGAAATGTTAAAAATCAAGAAACTTCAGGTTAGTAAACTGAGATTAACCTTAACTTTAAATAACTATTTCATTTTCAATATTAGTTTTTGGTTTTCAGTTTTTACTTTTTTGAAAACTAAAAATTAAAATCTTGTTTGACAACACTTTTGGTTTTGATTTAAAAAAAAAATGAAATAATGAAAACCAAAAAGTGAAGTTTTTCTATTTTTGGTTTTCAATTTTCAGTTTTTACATTTTTATTTTCATTTCTCAGTTTTATAAAAAGTGAAAACAAAAACTGAATAAAAAGTGACTTGAAACTGAAAGTAGTTGCTAAATAAGATTTTAGTTTTCAGTTCTATAAAAAATGAAAATAAAAAATGAAAACGAAATGGTTGGCCCTTAAGTTTTAAATTTTGCTTTGTTGAATTATAACAACCAAGATTTCAGTTTAAGAAATTGTAATGGTATCTGAAGATTTTCACTCATCAATTTCTGAAAGATTAATGTAATCTTGAAGTTGCATAATAAATTTTTACTTTTGCTTTGTTGAATTTTAACCACCAGGCATGATGGAGACTATATCAGGAACGTTATTGCTAGTATCACTGTACAACTGGGCAGAACCAAATGCTTAGAGGTACCCACCAGCCTAGTTGGAATAGATTCTCGCGTGCGAGAAATTAGTAAGCATTTAGACGTTGGAGGATCAAATGATGTTCGCATAATTGGAATTTTGGGTATGTGTGGACTGGGTAAGACAACGGTTGCAAAAGCCGTTTTCAACAAACATCATCATAGTTTTGGTGGTGCAAGTTTCCTTCAAAACGTGAGGGAAAGGAAACTGGTTGATTTGCAAGAACAACTTCTTTCTGATATCTTGAAACCGGCCTACATAGTGGTCAGTAGTATGGATGAAGGGACCAAGGAGATCGAACAAAGGTTAGGCAACATAAGGGTACTTGTCGTAATTGATGATTTAGACAGTATAGAACAATTACATGCTTTGGCTATAAAACCTGACTCCTTTGGTCTGGGGAGCAGAATCATTATAACATCAAGAAACGAACATTTGCTAAAGATACTTGACGTGGATAAGATATGTCCTCTGCCAGCAATGAATGACAAAGAAGCTCTTGAGCTACTTAGTTGGCATGCCTTTAGAAAGAATTATCCTAATGAAGAGTATGTTGAGCTCTCAAGAAAAGCTGTTGGCTGCTGTGGAGGTTTGCCACTAGCACTTGAAGTCGTAGGTTCTTATCTACGTACAAAAAGCACAAGTGAATGGGAAACTGTACTGGATAAATGGAAAGGATCACAGCCTTATGGGGAAATTCACGGAAGACTTGAAATAAGCTATGATAGGCTAACTGATGATGACGTGAAGGCTATATTCCTTGATATCTCTTGTTTCTTTACTGGAATGAACAAGGACTATGTTATGACAGTACTCGATGGCTGTCAGTTTTTTCCGGAAATAGGGATTCGAGAACTCCAAGATCAGTGCCTTGTAACTGTTGATAAAGAAGGCAATCTCATGATGCATGATTTGATTCAAGGCATGGGCAGAGAAATTGTGCATGCAGAATCCCCTGATAATCCTGGAAAACGTAGTAGATTGTGGCATAATGAAGATATAACAGACGTATTGACGAAGGAATCTGTAAGTATTTTTGCAATTAAATTAGATGTTAAAATGGGCGTACTAATGTAGCAGGAACTTGTAAGAGACAACAAAGGATCCGATTGTATTGAATTATCTCAAATTAAATAACAGAATCACACATGTCCTGCTCTTGTTAAGTACTATTTGTTATACCTAACTAATGTAGACAGTTTTAAAGTACAACTCTTAAGGTTATTATCCAGACATACATGCACATTATAGCAGATGTATAATAAAAGTTGGCTATGAGAGGCCCATGTTCTAAATTGTCTAATTGTCCACCTCCCATGTGGTTCATCCATCCAATTCATGGCTTTGTGGTTCTGATATATGAATTAATCACCCTTCCCGTGCAAATAATCCTTTTCTTAGTTCCTCAGTTGCTGCTGTTGTTGTTTTGTTTTTATTTATTTATTTTTAATTTTTAGTTGTTTATTTTTAATTTTTTTTGTAATAGGGAACAGAAGACGTTGAAGGACTTGCTTTAGATATGCAAGAGTCTGGCGAGCCTAGCTTCAGTTCAGAATCATTTCGAAACATGCAGAGTCTGAGACTGCTCAAACTCAATAACGTAAAGCTCACTGGAAGTTACCACAATCTTTCCAAAGAGTTAAGATGGTTGTGTTGGCATGGTTTTCCTCTGGAGGTCTTACCAAAAGATTTTGATCAACCAAACCTAGTTGCTATTGACCTGAGCTATAGCAAACTCATACGAGTTTGGGAGGATTCTGATTTGGTATGATATGGCCTCAACCAAATTATTAATTCTTTTTGTCAGGTTTTATAAACACCAACTTCATCCTTTCTCTTTTCCGTTTGTGTTTATTTTGGTTTTTCCTTTTGTCTAACAGTTGCTCGAGAAGTTGAAGCTTCTTAATCTCAGTCATTCCCATAACCTGGCACAAACACCAGACTTTTCAAAACTCCCAAATCTCGAGGAATTGATTTTGAATGATTGTGAGAGTTTGTCTGAGGTTCACTCATCCATTGGGAATCTTGAAAGACTTACTTTGGTAAATCTTGAAGGCTGCAAAAATCTCAAGGATCTCCCACTGAATTTCTTTAATTCCAAGTCTATTGAAACTCTTCTTCTTAATGGCTGTTCAAGATTTGAAAACTTGGCTGAAGGCTTGGGACAGACCTACCATAAGACAGCAGATGGCACACCCATAAGACAAATTCTAAAGCTGAGTTTTTCATCTCAATATGGTGTGAAAGAGTCACCATCAACTAGTCTTTTGCCCCCTTCTTTACATTGCTTAAACTCTTTACGGAAATTAGATCTTGGATGCTGCACTTTAACCGATGACGAAATCCCGAAGGATCTTGGGAGTCTAATTTCTTTAGAAGATTTAGATCTTCGGAAAAATAGTTTTTGTAGCCTACCAAGCCTCAGCGGTCTTTCTAAGCTTGAAACATTGTGTTTAGATGATTGCACAAACCTACATGCAATCCCAAATTTACCAACAACTTTGAAAGTCTTGCGAGCGGGTTTGTGCACTGCATTAGAAACAATGCCAGATTTTTCAGAATTGTCGAATTTGAGAGAGTTGTATCTAAGTCATTCATGCAAACTCACAGAGATTCCGGGCTTGGATATGTCATTAAACTCGATGACAAGAGTTCATATGGAAGGGTGCATCAATCTCACTGCTAATTTTAGGAAGAACATCCTTCAGGTCTCTCTTTCTATCTAGCCTGTTCTCTTTCTCCTTCTCTTTCTACCACACACACAGCAGCACATATGTATGACACATGCATACATAACAATGTATTTTTGTTACAAATCTGGCTCTACATCGTACAGGGATGGACTTCTTGCGGATATGGTGGCATTTTTCTCAATGGAAATTATATTCCTGACTGGTTTGATTTTGTCAAGGGTGATCTGGTCAGTTTTCACATACCTCTAATTTTTGGTCGCAATTTTAGCGGGTTGACTCTGTACTGCATATACTCTTCGAAGAAACAACGTGAAGGTCCTCTCGGCATTATTGTTATCAATAAAACCAAGCGTACTGCTTTGCTCGCCCGGATAACATACGCTTCGGTACCAACTTCCTGTACACTTGATGACCATTATCTTTGGCAGGGACAGATATCGAACTATGTGCTCTGTCTGCAAGGAGGGGACAAGGTCGATATAGTTGTAGTGCCTGTTGAAACTGCAGATGCTTCTGTGAGTGTGAAGAAATTAGGGGTTAATCTAGCATGGGACAAATTTATGAAGGAAAATATGCATGATTCAGACTTTCATCTATACGATTTTGGCCTACATCCGGATTGGTTATTGGGAGCTGATGGGTACTTTTTATTTCTTTTTTCCTTTCCTGTATTTTGTATTTTTTTTAATAATTTCCCAGTCCATTTTTTTTATACACAAGCATGCAGTACCTTAGTTCTTTCTAACAAAAGTTATTAATTGGCTACATAAGGTATTGGTCTTTTTAACTCTCATATTTATCAAATGTCGAACAAACAATGAAATTATTATTACTGCGGCTTGGAGTATATGATTTTACACATTGCAATGTAGAGCTTCCAGACTCTTCCATGAGAATTTATGAACACATTCTGTGTGTCATGTGTGGTCAGATATTGAGCTAACCACATGAATCAAATATTTGATTTTACACATTTATGCATATATAAATATAAGTTCTGAAATTTATAATGCTTTAATGGTTTTCGAAGATTTTGATTCATCTTTGGCCTTTCAAATCTTCCACTCCCAAGCTCTCTAGTTATAATGAGTAAGATTTTAATTCAATTTAATTGTACTGTTTATTAGTAAATCTTACTTTTGCTCTATTTTGAATTGAATTTTACCTACCAGGTATGAAGGAATCAGTAGAGAACTGAGAAGCAATTACTTGGGCGTAGCCATACACCCAGTTGGAATGGATTCTCGCGTCCAAAAAATCAGTAATTATTTAGATGTTGGAGGATCAAACGATGTCCGTATCATTGGAATCTGGGGTAGGGGCGGACTGGGTAAAACAATGGTTGCAAAAGTAATTTTCAACAAATATCAGCACATGTTTGATGGTAGAAGTTTTCTTCCAAATGTGAGAAAAGATAAGGTACTGGTTGATTCACAAAACAAACTTCTTTCTGATATCTTGAGATCGGGAAACATGAAGGTTAGTAGGGTCGATGAAGGGACCAAGGAGATTAAAAGAAGACTTGGCAACAAAAGAGTACTTGTCATAGTAGATGATGTAGACAGCGATGCACAATTAGATGCATTAGCTATAAAGCATGACTCATTTGGTCCAGGAAGTAGAATTATTATAACGACAAGAGATCAAGATTTGCTAAAGATACTTAATCTGGAGGTGATATGTCCTGTGCAAGAAATGAACAAAGAAGAAGCTCTTGAGCTACTTAGTTGGCATGCCTTTAAAAAGAATTATCCTGGTGAAGAGTATGTTGAGCTCTCAAGAAAAGCTGTTGGCTACTGTGGAGGTTTGCCACTAGCACTTGAAGTCTTAGGTTCGTGTCTGCATACAAAAAGCAGAAGTGAATGGAAAACTGAACTGGGTAAATGGAAAAGATTACAGCCTTATTTCACCTTCAACGGCATGGATTATTCAACAGAAAAATATCCGAGAAGAAAGCTTCAACTCAAAGGTCCACGTCCAACGCCTCTCAAGATGAACAAAGACTCGGTCAAGATCAAGAAACCTCCAGTTGTACGCTCAAGTCCCCGAAGGTCATACGCTCAAGATTACAGCCTTACTTCACCGTCACCGGTCGTAATATACTCAGTGTCCCCGAAGGTCATACGCTCAAGTCCTAGCGGGCTCATGGACCTTGTCCAAAGCCTCACTGGCTTACCACCATCAAATTATTCCACTACATCTTCTTCCCCGCCCAGTAATATTAATCCTCCGAATTATGATAACTTTAATAAACCTCCGGCTCATGATCAAGGGATAAATAAAAGCAGTACTGCTCGAGATGTTGTGGAAGGAATGGAAATACTGGATGATGGTGGTGATGGTTGTGTGAGGCAAAAGGGTGTGTTTCGGGGGATCTTGTCGCCTGGGCCCGCTTCGATTACTCCGATTCCTTCAAACTTCTTCTCGCAGGCTGGGCCCGCTTGGATTACTCCGACTCCTTCAAACTTCTTCTCTCCGCCGGCGGGAGTCATACCTTTAGAAACAAAGAATGAAGATAATGTTGAGCACTCAGGAAAAGCTGTTGGCTACCGTGGAGGTTTGCCAATAGCACTTGAAGTCCTAGGTTCTTGTCTACATAAAAGAAGCACAAGTGAACGGGAAACTGTACTGGATAAATGGAAAGATCACAGCCCTGCCGGGTAATTCTCGCAAATATTAAGACAAGCTATGATAGGCTAAATGATGACCTCTTGAAGGATGTAATCCTGGATATAGGCTGTTTCTTCATTGGAATGAACAAGAACTATGCACGACAATATTTGGGGGCTGTGACTTATATCCAGAAAAAAGGAATTCTAGAACTCCAAAATCAATGCCTTGTAACTGTTGATACAGAAGGCAATCTGATTCGAGACATGGCCAGAGAAATCGTACATGCACAATGCCCTGACCATCCTGGAGAACATAGAAGATTGTGGCATCAAGTGGATGTAATAGACGTATTGGGGAAACAATCTGTAAGTACTTCGGCAATCAAATCTTATGTTAAATATGAAATTCATTCTGGCATAAGTGCTTGCCTCCAACCTATTATTTCAAATAATTAATTTTCAAAGTTAAAAACCCCAAATCCATGCAGTAGATGTTGAAGCAGTTACCCCCCTCACCCCTCCAACCCTCCATCCATTTTTTCCCCTTTTAAATTCAAAAATAGAAGTCCAAAAAAAGTTATTAAGGGCGCACACGCGTGTGCCGAGGGGTTTGTAATAGGTTTAGTAACACCGTGTAACAGATGCCGACTAAGATATATGTGGCACAGTATGTGCATGTGTCGTATTTTGCATAGGCTGATGTTGTTGTAGGAATGACTCTCTAGCTGAGTTGGTTGTAACATCTCCCTCAACAAGAAGGAACCAAACATAATTGATTCTTATCAAACAATGCAATTTTATAAGATTTCATGAGTGTTGAAGTTTGTCCTCAATGTCCTCATATTGTCAAAACTATTATGCATGTTACGAATGGTCTGATAGTATTCATATAGGGTTTAGGGTTCAGTGCTCACATTCCTTCTTCGTGTGTTTTTAATCTTTTCTGACCAACTACTATGTTCTGATTCATTATCCTGTTAGTTAACTCTCTATGTACTTTTGTGTAGCCATGGGTAATGAAAAGGGAAACAGTTATTGCGAAAAGAATTGCCACCAAAATTTTGACAGAAGTGGGACCGAGAAAGTTACTCGTGACAAGTAAGTTGTTTTCTAAAATTAATTATGAGCTTTATGTGCAACATGGAGAATGTGTGGGTTATTATTTCTTTCTGCTATTAACTTTCTTGGGAACTTTCAGGTATGAGGGAAGACTGGGTTGCAAAAAATGCAAAACAACCAGCTCCTAAACCAGTAGATATGAGCATCAGTTCCAACAATTTGGTAAAGGATGGAGCGAGAGGCAGCGATGCTTTTTACGGTGGCGGAAGCTGCTCCTCCAGTGGCAAGATCCCGTGGGGTAGATTTTAACTGTTGCAAAATAATGGTCAATTGGTGGGACGATATTGACTTCACCAAGGGACAAAGGAGACATGGTATAGTAAATATGAAGCACAACTTTTTTGTTACATATTAGACCGAACTGGTTTGAGCATGATAGAGTTGATTGGTATGAGTATGAATGGTTTTAAAATTTTTGATGAAAAGGTATTGTTTGAGACGTATGATGGCTAGAAGATAAACAATGGGTTTTAATAGAAAATATAGACAGTTCAAATTTCAGATTTATATTAGTGAATTTTGTTCGAAAATTGGATTTATATTTGCAATTCACATTTATATTAGATTTTTCTTCGTAAGTGGTCTTCTCCAATTTTGAAACTACATTCTCCTACCCTCTATATCTACTAAATGAATGATATGCATACCCAGTATCTAACAATGTTCATTAGCCTCCGCATCCATGAACATGCCTTAATATATTCTCCATCTTACAAATAAGTGGCCAACTTTTTTTACATATTTGTTCTCAGCTGGACGATGCTTGTAATTTTATAGTGGCCCTCCACTCTACCATGACTATTCAATCCTTTTTTTAGGTTTTGAACAATACTATTAAATGGGTTTCAACATTTGATTTATTAAACCTCTAATACAGGTTTATAGTTTTGGTTTGGCTTTTATGTTTTCCACTATCACAGATTTTCCCTGATTCTTTCTATTACTTTTTATACTTATAAATGAAATGGTTCCCTGGATTGCAGTTACTTTCAGCATCCGACAACACTGATATAACATTTAGTGTACACTTCGCTTTTGAAACCCAATCAGAATTATGGCCCGGTCAGTTTGAGGATCCAATAATTCCAGGTCTCTCTTTTCTCTCTTCTCTCTTTCCCCCTCCCTATATGTAGTTTAATATAATTGAACAGCTCTATTTAATTTAAGATTTAGTTGGAAGTGTTTGAGATTTAATTAAGTGATAGTTTGGTTTCATAGATCAATAGTAAAAAAGAAATGTAAGATTCAAATGGTGGAGAAAGAAAGGCCTTTTACGATTTTAGAAGATGCGGTCCATGAAGATGATTCACTGGATAGGAGCATTGCGATTTGTGAGTTTTCATATTTGAATTAGTTCCATTATGTTTGCAATGCGAGTTCTTGAAATGGTTTGGTTCTTCTTGGACCCTGCTATGAAAGAAGGTTATTGAAAATATTTTAGTAAGTTTGGGGCGTTCGTAATTACTAAAATTTGTTGCAAGAAATTGGAGGATGAAGAATGAATTATCAAGCGATAGATGCAGTCATCCATGACTACAGTTTACCATATTTATTACTTTCGGATTTAAATTGCATTTTAAAGACAAAATATACAATTTGTAGTGTATTTCATGCATATTTTTATTTTACTTGACAACTTAGTTGCTCGAACTAGGGCTAGGCACGGGCCGGGCCAGGCCTAATTTTGAAGGAATCGAAGCTTAAATGAAACGGGCCGGACCGGGCTAGGTAAATCATATTTCATTACAAGAATTGAACCGAATCTGGTCCGTTTCAAATAGGCCTGTCCAGGCCGACGGTCCCCTTTTTTTTTTTTTTTTTTTTATGTTGGTTAAAATTAAAATAAAAAAAAAAAAAAAATATATATATATATATATATATATATATATATTTGCACAGAGTGCGGCAATTGCAGAGATTGCAATTGTACAGATTCTATGATTCTACCACAGCATTACCAATGTCCAAAATAACAACATATCCAAATTCCGAGAGTCCAAAATAACAATATTACATGACATCGTCCAAAATAACAATACATCGTCCAAGACTCCAAATTCATAGATTAACAATACATCCAAAATAACAACATTACATCGTCCAACATCTAAAAATAACAACATTACATCGCAATCAGATTTTATGGTAACAATTCCCATTTTCCCAGCGCTTGTGCTTCCATCTTGAATCACTTACCCAAAAAAGTCAACAAAATGGTGAATGATTCAAATTCAAATCCATTGTGCTAAAGTAGAATTGCCTATACGGTTCACAAAAACTGAAGTAGAACGAGCAAATATTCACCCTTTCATCCATAATTTCCAGTCCATAAAATGACTTCCTGTTATGATCACGACGCCTGCAACAAAAAAAATATAAGACATCGCATGGACAAGTCAAATGTAAAAAGAGCCAATGAAACATAATAATAATAATGCCAAATATTCGACAAATCCTACTGCTAAACGTGATCTGGAGCTTCAACTTCAGTGTGTATCTAACATACAAAGAGACAAGCAACTAATGAGGGAAGCACATTCACTGTTTTCAAAACACACACAGCTATGCTCAGCACACAACACATAAATGCATACCACACAGAAATGCACATTGCACAACACAGAAGAAGCAAAAACTGCAATTCTGCACAGATTCAAAAAGTGCACAAAACTGCACAGCATCAAAACTGCACAGATTCAAAAACTGCACATATATATATCCAACAACAGAATATATATATGTGCAGATTCAAAACTGCATATATATATATATATACACACATATATATATGTATTCAAAAACTGCACAAATTCAAAACTGCACATATATATATTCAAAACTGCACAGATTCATTCATCTGAAGATCTCTACCATATTCCAAGTTTCCAACTATATGGACAAACAATGAACTGTAGTTTTATTGCATACATACCTAATCCAACTAGATTGTTTGTCTGATCACAGAACTCAAACCAATCAAAACTCAAACCAAAACTCAAACTAACTATTGAGCATACCATTCAATCAAAACTCAAACCAATATATTATATATATCAAATATTTCCCAGTAATCAGCTAGATAATCAAACCCAAATCAGAAAAACTAAAAATATAGAGAATACTGAGAGGAAAAAAGAAATAGGAGAAAAAATATCACCTTTCTTGGTCAGCAGTGTCCCAAATCTGAGCCTTGATGAGCTTGGAATCAACGGTCAAAGTCTTGGTGGCGAACTCGACGTCGACGCCAATGGTAGACTTGGATTCCGAATTAAACTCGTTCCTGGTGAACCTGGAAAGCAGGTTCGACTTTCCCACCCCAGAAAGTCTTGGTGGCGAACTCAACGCCGATGGTAGACACTACTAGATAGTAGCCGTCGAGGGAGTCGAGGCTCGAGGGAGTGACGGTGGAAAGGTGGGGCGTGGGAGTTAGAGAGTGAGTAGCAGGGTGCGTGTGCTTGTCTATGTGTGTGGCTTGCTTGTGGCTGGCTGGAGTTGTGTCAGAGAAGGTGGACGGAGGAGCGGCGCCGCGAATTCGAGAGAGGGTTGGAGTGTTGGAGAGATCGAGACTGAACACTGAAGTCTGAACTGATTTAGGAACCTAGGTTACAAATTAACGGTTCAGATTGAATGATAGGTTATCATTCAATCTCGACCGTTGATTAAAGTTAGAAACGGACCGGTCCGGAGCCCCGTTTTTCTAAGATTTAGGAACCGGCCCGCCCCGTAAATAACCATGCCCCGGCCCACCCCGCCCTGTTTGTTCCCAAAAAAAAAAGGACCCGGCCCGTACCCGCCCCGAACCTACACTACCCGCCCCTACCCGCGGTTTCTCTACCCGTTTGCCCACCCCTAGCTCGAACAAGAACGGAACACTTTTTCTGTTTTTTTGTTAACTGCTAAAACAGGTGTTTAGCCTGCAGGACATATATTTTGCCGTCTTAATTGCAGGGGTAAAAAATGTGTGAATTGCACGTTGCTTCTGTTTCATATATGCAGGAAAATTAGCTACTTGAACAAGTATTGAACACTTTCTATGTTTTTTATTAACTGCTGAAATAGGTGTCTGCCCTACAGGACACATATTTTGCCATCTTAACTACAAGGGCAAAATATGTGTGAACTACATGTTGCTTATATTTATTTTGTTTCTTAAGGAAACATAACTTTTTTGGAAACCATCTCTTTCTAATCAAAGACGTTCAGTTTCTTCCCCCTCATTGTACAGTGTATTTATATGCCAACTCACTTGAATGTATATAAAAGTAAAATTGCTTATCTTATCGACCTCATTCACTCATGTATGCCTTTGTTTGTTCATAATTGTGTTGAATTTATTCGACTTAAAAATGTTTTATTCATCCGATTATGTCTAAAACAGTTGGTTCATGTGACAACGTCCAGGCCTAATTTCTAGTGAATTCTAATTTAGGGCTTGTAGTTCATACATCCAATTCATGGCTTTCTTCATGTGTATAAATTCCCTTTTCATGTCAAAATAATTCTATCTTATTTTGTTCCTTTTTTTACCTTGAATAGGGAACAGTAGCTGATAGGGATTTTACCACACACGCAAAAGGGTTAAAAATTCTTATAATAGTTGCAAGAATGACAAGGTTATTGTAGTATAAACGGATCTCACAAGATCGTTCTCCACAGGGATTATTAAATAATTCGAAGCAAACCAAATTCCAACTAATTATTGTAAAACATAAATTGAGATGATTGATTTTAGGACCTAATTTAAATTAAAACGAAATTGATTAATAAAAGTAAACTAATCTGCAATATTAAAGATGAGGAAAAAGAAAATAGTTTTGTAGAAATCAAATTAAGAAAGCACTAGGGATCTGCCGTCACCTTAACAATCCTATATAGTTCTCTCAATTACTTATAAGTTATACGTGCATATTTCGAAGGTTAGGTTTTCCTAATATATGCCTACTTGGACCCCCAACATAGAACATATATCAAACATGCAATCCGTTTGTGGTATTTTTGATATAGATGCCTCAAATTTAAATTTTTTTAATCAAACATTTATAACTTTTAAACTTTTGATCAAACATTCTTCTACTAATGTTTAATTAAAAATTATGATTTTTATTGTATTTAATTAACCAACTAGTTCAGAAAATAATATCACAAATATTCTAAAATCACCACAAACATCCTATCTTATCTTATCATAATTCGTTCAAAATGAATTTTTCTTATTGAAATAATTTGTTGTTTTAAATTCTATAAACACATAAACATCCTATTAACATACAATTATGAAATATAACATGCACAGTACCTGTTCGAGTGAATTTCTCAGCTTGCTCTCCATGTCTTCGATCATTCTTCCCATGTTACAAATATGCCCTTCTTGAATTGAGAGGTGCATATTCATCTACAAAGCCAAAAAGAAAGAGTACTTGATCCATCCCAGTATATCATACAAATAGTACATGCAGGGCAGCACAGAAAAACAGATTTTGAGTGATCATTCAAACAGAAATCTTGTGCTTAATTAAATTAAACCATATCAGCTCCAACAATATAACACAATCAATAAAAAATTGATTCACAGAGCAATAGCTCCCTGTAAAAACTCCTTCTCTTGAAACATGCTTATCACTAAAATGTCGAAGCCCCAAGAGTCATTTAGATGCGATCACATGGATGAATTTGAAAATTCCAGACAATGCAAAAAGAAAAAATGAATATTTTTAGCACAGAAGCGAAGAGGAAAAGATGCAGGTGACGAAGGGGAAAAACATTTCTCTCTGAACTGACTTCTTTGTACCTCTCAAAAAAATGTTTCCAAAAGCAAAAATTGTCCAGAAGATCACATTCCTCAATTGAAAAAGAATAAAGTATCATTACCTGTCATCTAATTGATCCAGACAAATTGAATGTGCCTGATGACTCATTATCAGTAGTCAAAGACAGTACGATAGTGCTGGTTAAACGGTAATGAGATGTTCCTTCCTCCTCCGGACCCACCTACGTAAAAAAAAAAATCAGCAAATATACATATAAGAGGACATAAATTGAATTTTGCATCTCCTAGGAGAAAGTTCAGGCAGTATACCTTTCTTGATTAAAAAACAGCCTACAAAACCTTCGTTATCATCCTCCCACAGATAAACCGACGAAATGCCACCTTCATGGTACCTACCAAATTACCAGTTAATCAAGCTGTATGAAATCTTCAGAATGCATGAGGTTACTTTCGACACATTTTAGCCTCTCTTTTTTTTAAAATTAACTAACGGAAGAAAAATCCTTTTGGAAGTGTTTTATACAGTTCAACCAATGCCAAGAATGACGGAAGAACAAAGTAAGTAAAGGACCTCACTGGTCACGATAAACGGCAAAGATGTCGTTTGCTTCAACTTCAAGTTTCCTCAACTCTAAAGATGGGAGGCTGCCGTCTTCTAGCGGCGGATGATATTTGTTTAACCAAGGCGATCAACATGGAAATATGGTAGCACAAAAAATATCAACATGGACAATCGATATTCACAGAACAGAAACGATTATAAGAAAAAAGAAACTACTGGATTACATAGTTATACATGTATTGCACTAATCACACCAATTAAATCAGCATATGAACCCAAACAATAAATTAAATTAATCAAAATATACCAAACATCCAGACTCACAAATCAAGGCAAGATCTGCTACCTCTAAAATGTCCCCAAAAAATGTAGCAATGAATGTGTAAAATATCAGAAAACTAACACCAACCCATCAAATTTGACAAAAGATTTGAGGGTTTTACCTGTAAGAGTCAAAATCTCTATTATATTCACACAAAATGAACTCCTTCCCGTATTCCATATCGCACAAAACCTGATTTTCGGGAAATCAGAGCAACACAGTGACTTTAAAATTTGAATTTCAAACTAACGTTTTGTTTTTTTTTTTTTTTTGGGACTAAAATGAAACCCTATGAGAAAGAAAATGGAAAGTGAAAATTGGATTGGATTGGATTCTCTCGGGAAACAAACAGTGGAGAACCTGGAGAGGCTGATCGATTTGAGAGAGGAGATCAGACGAGTGCTGGGCGAGAAGGGAGAGAAGGGCGGAGAGAGCGCTTGGGAGGCATCCGACGCATCAGTCCCATCGCTGCTTCCATTTTGCCCTTATTTTTCTTTTTCTTTTTCTTTTTCTGGTTCGAAATTCGGATTTTGATTTCTTTCGTTTCACGAGTCTCGAAGTATATTTTGGGTTGTTTGCTTGTTGGGGTTGATTAAACTCCGAGAAGCGAGAAAAAAAAATGAGGCGCCTTGTTTTGTTTGACCCGACTTTCCCTCGCGGGAACTTCCCCATTCACACCCGTTTGTGACTGTATTATTATTTTATTGATTTTAATTTTCTCATCAAGATTCAAAATTTTGTTTGGACTAAATTTTTCTTGGATCAAAATTTTGTTTCTGAAACTAATGAGTCTTAAGTAATTTAGTTACATTTATTATTTTTTTAAACAAAAAATATAAACTTGTTTGAAAGTCTTTTTAAATGATTGGAAGCGGTTTTAGTGAAAGTGTTTTTAGGTTTCAAAAGCAATTGAAGTGCATTTTAAAAAAAACACTAGTTATGTGTTTCTTACATCAAAAGTACATTTTCATGCTTTTTTCTAAGAATTAGTTTCAAAAAACATTTTCATCAAAAGTACATTGATTAATTATTTTGAAATACACCGAATATATCAAAGAGACGGTTACATTCTTACTTGGATGCAAAACTAGTGACAGGTTGAGTTGATTTGTTTTAATATTTCAAGTATTTTTCCTTATTTGTAAATGAGAAGTTTCAAATTGGATACCTAGTAAGTGGTTAATCCATTATGTGGTCTGGTTCAATTTCCCCTTTAAATGTAGAATATCATTATAAAAACGAAAAACGATTATATTAGATATGTGTAGTAGAAGAGAAAAAATTGGAGTCAAGAATTTTCATTGGAGAGAAAATATTGGATTCAAAACAATAATGAAGAAAAGCGTTTTCGCTACCCTCATTTTTATTTTCGAGATTAGAATTAAATAAATTAAAAGAAAATCAATTGCAAATATAAACATGGATGTTTATAACCAAAAGTGTGGTAAAAACATTTCCCTGAAAAGAGTTGAGGATGCCATGAGTTTGCCTTTGGAATCGGACCCCGGAAGCAAAAGCAGGCCTAAGTCGTCGGTATAAATTGACTTTTGTGGTAAGAAAAAATAGGTGCTAAATAAAATAGGTGCTAAAATGATTGGGGGTTTGTAGGGTCTACACACACTACACTTTTTCTCGATGTGCTTTTAGCCTTTTATGTATCCTATTCCACAACATTTTGTCGGTAGCCGTTTGGAGCAGAGTAGATTAGAATCCCGCCAACAAATGGCATGGCAGACCCACTCGACAAACTTGTGATTTGAATATTCTTAAAGGTAACTTATTCTTCTATCTCAAATTACTTTTTTCATATTCTTTTAATTTTTTAATATTTTTCTATCAAGTATTAGTGATGTGTAAAAAATATTAAAAAATTAAGTGTTAATAGAAGAAGTAATTTGTAATGTGTAAATATAATATCTCATTCCTAAATCCTAGTTAGTAAATTCGAGTATAGTACGTGTGTAAAAAAAAAATATTTCTCTTTCTTGTTATATATGCATAGATGTCTTTTCTATTTAATACTCATTATTTCATAAGTGGTTTCGACTTGTAGGTGACCCGCAATTATTCGCCCAGTCTTCACGTGATCATAGCACTTGAGCGTATTTATTTACACTCAGTCCTGTCGTACAGACCACTTTAGGTGGTTCTGACTCGTGTGCAGGTGTAGTGATTGAGTTGTGGATTTGAGCTCTAGATTCAGCCGTACAGGTCACGTTAGGTGACTCCGACTGACATATTTTCTGCATTGATTGACATTACCTGGGTTACTTACATCATGTGCTGAGTTAGTTGACATGGCTTACATACATACATATTTGTGAATGCTGCTACTCTAAGCATGGTTGTGACATATTTATATATTCTGTTTTCTAAGAAATTATACAGGTTTTACGAAGAGGGGTTAGAACTTTTGATAATGAAATGATTTTGAAAAGCTTTGTTTTTGCCCACACACACTTTCTGTTTTGCACCCCTCCAGGTTCTAGTTAGAAGCAGCTTTGGTAGTTTACGAGGACTTGACGGTGGTTCTGACAAAACATCACAAATGTAAGATCACCTTTGGATGTTGTGTAATTAGTATTCGTTCTTCTAGACTGCACTTAGGCTTTTTGTGCTCTGATTATGTTTATCCCACTTAGTTTCACACTAGTGTGTTACTTTAACTAGTTTATTTAGTAGTTTGGTTTTTATTTATTCGTACTTTTATTATTATCTTTTGCTTCCGCACTGTGTACCTGGCTACGTCACCCTCACGTGACAGCCAGCATGTCTTGATTCCGGTCGGGGTGTGTCAATTTTGATACATTTTTTAATAATACATATAAAGTATTGGAAATTGTTATTGGCACACAAAAAATTTCATTATGCATTTCAAATTTTTTATAATTAGAAAGAAAAATACACTTGTGAGGAGTGTAGAATGAGTTTTTTGGAGTGCTAATAACAGTTTCCAAATTATTCTATAAAAAAATAAGGATAAATAAATATGAAAATTTACAAGAATTGTGGGATTTTTTTAAATATCTTCTAGCCAAGTTGCCGAATAATATACGTACGTACGTATATTTGACATTCTATACTTATTATGTGCTTTAATTTAAGCCTTGTAAATTTTTTATTCTTTTGATTCAATTTTTTTTAAACTAATTTAGATTGTGAGGAGAAAATTTCAAATTTAGAGTATAAGGCATAACGTATCGGTGTGGCCAATATAGCCACGTTCATGCTTGCAACTCTTGTACTAATGATATTACATTTGTGTAAATGCTTAAGAAAGTAAATACAACTGAACCACAACAATCTATATGGATTGGTTTGGTTTGGTTACCTCTGAACCAATTCGAAGGCTACGTGCAAATAGCGATTGTCAATTTCCAAACAGGTAAAACAAAATTAGAAGCTTAGGGATTGTTTGATAATCATCTCATCTTTATATTTCAATCTTTGTTTTCATTTTTGGAAAATAAAAATTAAAAATAATTACCAAACAAGTTCAGTTTTACGATAACAAAAAAAACCATTTGTGAGAAATTACATCAATAACGAAATCGTTGAACAACATTTTGTAATGGAACAATTAATTTATTAATACAACGTATTAATATAAATCCCAGAATAAGCTCTACTGTTATAATCTCCAAGAGTTGGACTCTCCCATAAATCATCCACCTCCCAAGCTACATTGAAATCATCCATTTTTTTTATTGGTTTTGAAACTATAACTGAACTACAGCACTACAACTTTTCATAAAGTGGTTCCAATAATATAGTTTTATATATCATACCCTTACACTCTCTTTTATTAATTTTTGTTACACAATCAATCACTCACAGGTCATGCTATCCATAGAGTGGTTCAAAGAATTCCAAAAGCTTCATTCATCTAATTTCTACTTTTCATGTAAAAATTCTTTAAAAAAACTCAAACATCTTTCAGTTTAAATAACATTAATCTTTTGTAACAATCTCTTATAGCTTCGAAACATATTTTTTTCATATGGTATCTAATCATACAACAATGCGCGGATTATACTTCTAGTGAAAGCTATGATATTTCATAGTTAGAAATAAAAACTTGAGCAAATTGATAGGAGCACAATGACATTTGCGAGGATTCTTTGTATTTGTATCATTTTTTTTCCTTCTATACATTTTTTCAACCAAAAAATCAATTGTGCTACAACATTCTACGATTACATTGAAATAAGAGTTCAGTCCTGATTTTTACTATTTATTAAGAAATTCAAAGTTCAAATAGTGGAACAATTACCTGGTTTTATCATATAGGAGAACTGTGAAAAAGTTACTAAGAAATTGATAACAAGCCTCAGGGCAGCGACAATTTGCAGGTTGAGATGACAACTTGGCATTCACAGCCTGTAATTCCTGGATTTTTATTTTCAAATAAGTTATTAAAACTATACATACGTTCAAAAAATGTAAATACTTTGAAATAAATCTGATATTATAGGATGGGTTAGAGGTAAAACTGGATGTGGATAGCAATAATCTTTGAAGATTCTACTTTACTAGCCTCTCTGCACGCACTAACGTGCGTGCGAGAGGCATTTTTGCATCACGGGCGCTACGCGCCCCTAAATGTGTACTATGTTAGTTTTGTTCCATTGTGGTTGTCAATGTATATGCTTTAGAAAGTATGATACCAAGTTTGGAGGTGAGGTATGAAATCTAGAAGATGACTGCTCCTAATTGGAAGCAATAAATTGAAGTTGTTGACGTGGATACTCTCTCACACGCAGCAATGCCTATTACGGTGTTCTCAAGCACGTGCGAAACACACTTTTTAAATCACGGCACGCTACACGCAACTTACACATTTTAGATGTATTTATATGCGAGGATTGGTTCAAAGTATAGAAATATAAAATAAAGGCGATTATCATCTCTAATAATACAAGCGGAATCTAAAGTATTTTGTCTAGAATATGTAAAAAAAAAAAAAAAAAGTAATAAATAACAGAGAAGATCCTTATAATTTAGTTGCAACTAAAAGTTAAATAAAAAGTACAAAAACAATCCGAGAAATTTAATTGACCTTGATGCACATGACACCAAAAAATATCATGAACTCATATCATTC